TTATAGAAAAACTCGGTTATTAAAAAAAGTGGGAAAAAATAATTTAAAAAGTCAATCAAAGAAAGAATAAAATTTTATTTCCCAAAAAAGTGTCTTGTAAAAGTCAGTACTTCAAATTAAGAACCATTGTATTAAGCGCTACAAAATTTAAAAGATGAACTCTCTGATGAAACTTAAGATTGAAAAATTTATCTCTAAACATTTAATTAATGTCTAAGTATTCACTTTGTGATTTTTTTATTTATGTTAAAATTAAACTTAAAATTTAACAATTTATAAGCTGGTGTTGAAAATATTATTACTATGAAAAATATTATTTTAAAAATTATGTACTGTATTTAAATAAAATGCATATTTTACGTATAAGATTAAATTAGCAATAACACTAAATGTATTCGTTTGAGATAAATTATAAAAGGCATAATTAACCCAACTTAATTAATTTTATAACGAAAATCAACCTGAAACCAAATCCAAAACCAAAACAGCTAACAAAATACCTACGCACTTCGAGTATTATAAAAAAAATAATCATTAAATTTAGATCAATTTAAAAATAATAGAAACAATTACTAATTAATTTAAGTAATTTAAACAACCGAAATAACGCGGGATAAAGTAAGCTTAACAATTTATCCTAATAAATATAGGCCTACAGATAGAATTTCACATTCAAAATTTAATTTACCGAAACTTCATCTTTCGAATTTTTCCTGCTGTTGTAGTTTATCAATAATTATCAATAAAATCAAAACCAAATTTATATCCTTTATAATGACTGATAAGGTAACCTAGGAACTAGACTTGACCATAAATTACATAATTGCATTTACAGCGCCTACTACATATATCGATTTATAAAATACAAATTAATAAAATTGAATAAAATTAAAGTGGCATTAACAATGCAATTTTAATTTATTCGATAACTTCTAAACAATGTTATTACAGTATATTGACGGATGGATGGCCGGGGAGGTACTGTAAAAGCGTCAGCTTGTTGCTATGAAGTACTTGGATTTAAGTTCAGATCGGAATCCTCGGGAAGTCTGTCCCAAATATGTAAGTTTTCGCTCTTCGCCAGTCGGCCGTCCTCGTTGTGGACTTAGCTGAATCCATGAAAGACCAGGGAAGAAGGTAATCTTAATACCTACAGGTCGGAAAGTTAAAAACAAAAAATTATGTTTCGAGTAATTCATTGGAAATATTTTTAATAATTTCAGAATCGTTTGAGTAATTCATCCTCCTTAACGTTAAAATAAAGAAAAAAATTTCAAACATTTACGATAATTCTTTGGTCTACAACCGAAACTTCATATCAAAAATTTATTTTCTTCCGAAAGAAGACGATTTTCATCCAGGATTTGCGTTATTCAATTAATATTTTACATTCCACGCAGCAGTAGGCATCATATCGCCTGCTGAGAACATTAGTGACATAAGTCCGAACTTGTTGATTTTGAGTAATGCGCACCATAAGACTCCTGAATTATTTACAATAAAGTGCACGTGTCATGTCATTATTCCGAGGTAAAATCTTCAAAACTTATTCAAATTTTAATGTATTAGTGGAGTAACTAAAATACAAAATAAAATAACAAAAAGTATACAATAACGCGAAAGGAAAAACTGTCCTGAATTACTCGAAAATGTTTTAGCTACAAAAGAATATTAATTAATTGAATAACTCGAATAGCTGAGTAGGAATTGAAAGATTGAAGTTTCGAGAGAAACTACTGTATAATAGCCATTTTCGGAATTACGTCATTAATGTTGTCATTAACAATATGAGGTCTGTATGATTTGGGAATTGAACACCCAACATCTCAAGACAAAACACTGCATTGGACATCCAATAGTTTCTTTCATGCTGTGGCGTGCTGTCCTTGGAAGCAGTGGAAGCGCCGCTTTCCTTGTACAGTATTTTCTAAAATATAAAGACATATTGCACGATTATTTTCATATTTTAACGTACTTTGAATTAATTAAAATTAATATTTTATTATAAGCGCATTATGTTTCTTATTACAAATTTCTATACTGCATGTAAAAAAACGATAAGATCGCTATTATACAAGGTCTGTTCAAAAATTATCGGACCTTTGGTCGGCAAAAATAAATTTATTGACTTTGAGGTACAAAACCCTAATCCCCTTCAAAGTAGTCTCCTTGGTAATGTATACACTTCTCCCAGCGTTCCTGCCATTGCTGAAAGCACTGCTGGAACGCATTTTCTGGAATGGCCATCAGCCGGTCCGTCGCATTTCGCACAATGTCTTCTCTCGACTAAATTCGTGTTCCTTTTAGCGGCATTTTCAGCTTGGGAAATAGCCAAAAGTCACACGGAGCCATGTGGGGACATTACGGAGCGTGACGAACCACAGGAGTGTTGTGTTTGGCGACGAAAGCCTGAATCAGATGCGCAGAATGGGCGGATGCGTTATCACGATGGAGCTGCCAAGTTTTGATCGACCACAGATCCGGTCGTTTGCGTCGCACTGTATCGGAAAGACGACGAAGGACCTCCTGGTAGTACTCCTTTGCGATGGTTTGGCCTTGTGGTGCGTACTCACGACACACCACCCCACGAGAGTCGAAAAAACTGTCAACATGACCTTTGATATTGCTGCAGACCTGCCGCGCTTTTTTTTGGCCTTGAGGATCGTCCCCGAAAGCCTGCTGAATCTTGCGAATGATTTACACTAGGGTATCGTCAAGGTTTTTGGCAAAATTTGATGTAATACCGCTGCTCGCGTTGTTCAGTCATTTTTCAGCTTAGTGGAATCCGACGAGAGCGCTCTACATGACCTCACTCATAGGCCGATTGCCAACGACTGACGCTTCCTGCAGGCAGGAAAAAATTCAGAGATGTGCATGACTGTCCTCTCCACAACTCCACCAAAGGAGGCCTCTCGCGCATCATTGGTTTACGCGGAAAAAAATAAGGTCCGATACTTTTTGAACAGACCTTGTATATTCGAATATCAGTGGCGAAATGAAAGCGCTATATTGTCGAATACGGGACAGCTTCCAAGCAGCCAGATTATAAGCATTCGCGCATACGCTTTACAGAGCACCAACCTCAGACGGTTTAGCTGGTGGAAACCAAAACGCTTCCAACGATTCTATTCAGGATTGGTTCTGGGCTGTTAGCAGCCTGCCTGCTAGATATTTGGCCGCCCTCGCCCCGTTATGTGAATCGCGAATAGATTTATAACTTAACCCGACCGATAGACGTTTACTAGTATGTTTTTATGATAGTTCTGTAAAGTTGACAGGAGTTTTAAAAAATCCATTAAAATATTTGATATATTTATTCTGCTCTCCCATTTTGTATTACTTGCGGATTTCATTGTTAAACTAGTGATATTACGATTTAGTATGTACCATCTATAAGGGGATGCAGAAAGAAAAAACGCGTACAATTCTTGTACAATGTTAAAAAATTAACTGTTACTTTGGCAGCATCATTTACAACCAAATTTAATGAATGAGACGCACAAGGTACAAAAAAAAAAGCTCTAGAACTTATTTTCCTTAAATTTACGATTTATGTATCCGTCTGTCATAAAAATTTGTCTTTCCACTTCTTTCCCAAGACTACAAATATTCGAGTACAAAGTAACAGGTTTCAACTTATTTCTATTTAAGAAGTACTGTAGTTAAATAAGCGATTAGAGAATTAGGGATATAAATAAAAGAGCCGAAATTTTACTTAAACAACTGAACCAATCTCTAGCCGAGTACATTGGGGACTGATTTCTTCGTAATATTAGATGTAATAAAGATAGAAATTTTTCCAGTTCAATGAGAATGACTGAAAAGTTGTAAATTTTGGAAATTTCCGTGGTCACCTGGTCCTAAAACGAATTAGTTAGAAAACAAATGACAGACAATCTATTAAGTTTAACGTATGTAGATTTTTATAACTATGGTGAGAAACGTTTAAAATTTATAACGATCCTGTCGCGTCCTTTGAGGTATATTAGTGATGCGGCAAAAGAGGCATTTGATATAGACCGATATCGGTACCCTCGGGATTTGGCAGTCCGCGTGCATGCATGCAATGCACACCTATCAGAACCGTCTCTGATTCCATCCATTAGTCACTCGTAGGGAGCTATTTGACTAAATGGATTGTTTTAAGATTTAAAAAGTAAAGAATATTTTATGTTATTTTTGTGTACGTTTCTTTACAAAGCTATATTTAATTATAATTTTCTTTAAAAGTATATTCATACAATTGAAGAATATTTTGTACCAGGTATGTATATCCACCACATTTTATTTCATCGAGTAAGTTTTTATTATTTTATTTTTAATTGTAGCCCTTATATCGTGGCTAGCGATTTGGAATGTAATTGTGATATTAAAAATACATTTAGAAAAGTCTACGGTTTTTACTGGCTTATCGAACAAACGAATACGAATGGACCCTAGACCGTCACTGACGCGCAATTGACTGGTTGCCCCTGGATGACGGATGCCCCTTCTTACAGAAACACAGCTTCCCTACCATCAAATGTCACGGCATGCCACTGCCTTCATGTGTTGCAAAAAATGTAGATTAATTAATTCTTTTACTGTTTCAACTATGAATGAAGTTACAGACAGACAATAGAATTTTGACAACATTGCCACTGCAGATTTAAATTTCATGAGAACTATGGGCATTGTTATGCACAAGTTCTTTCTAAAGATGGGAACCCGAGTTCGAGTCCGGTTCCTTTGAAAAGTTTTATAAATGGATTAAGCTGCATATGCCTCATCCTCGGGATTTGAGATTCGAAGTAAAGGACGGATCCCAATTGTTATCCTGGCAGAACGCGTTCGATAGTGTTCGCGAGAAGAAGAGTTAAACAAAAATTCGTGTAAAACTTTCGAATTTTAAATAAAAAAATTTAAAATGGTTTCTTACCATTAATTTAAAATTATAGTTATATTTTTAAAACATATTTGAAAAATCTTTAAAAATTTAAAAATAAAAACGTAACTAACATATAGTGACGTACTTCCTGTCTCTGTCCCGACGACAAAATGGCGGCGCCCGCTGAAAACTTCGAAGATTGGTTAAATGAAAAATTAAAGAAATTAAATACGGATCAAGATGTATTTGGATCCTATATTAAGAGTATATTGGACGGTGGAGAGTCGGAAGAAGAAAAAAGAGAAGCGTTAGAAGAAATTCTTGGCGAAGTAACGGTGTGTTCATTCAATTATTTCAATTGCGAATGTCTACTTAAAACTTATTTTTTATTTTCTACCATTGATTTACTTTAGATGATAAGGTTTGTATTTAAGAAAAATATACAAAATATACAAACAGTATAAAAGTAGGCTTATTTTCAAAATGTATTTATTTTCCCCCTATAAAATTTTTATTATTTTTTCACTCTCTCTCCATGTACATGTATAGAAAACTCTCTTCTATCCAGCAGACACTAAATTTACCTTTTTTCATGCTTAACATATGTTCAGCCAGGCCAGTGGCGAAGGAATTTTTTTCTGTAAGCAAAAATGTGATAAAGGGAACTCCAGTGCTTAGTGTCTAACTTAAAGTGAAATGAAATGTAAAATGTGGGATGTTTTCGTGTGATGTCGTAATGATCAATTCCAGTTGACAATTGTCAGTTTTCTAGCTTTCTGTCAATGACAGATGCTTTGACAATCAATAAATATTTTACATGTCTATATATTCTTTTTTACAAAATAATAACTTACAACAATAATGACAATAAAAAATTAATTTCAAGTCCAACTGTAGCTTCATTTGCTTTAACTGTCATGTTTTGGTACTTTTTGGTTAACGGGATGCACAACAATGGGTAAGATTCAAGCTCTGGATGAAGAGTTACATACCACCCCCAGAATAACAATTCTGGGGTTGGTACTTCGTGTGATATTCATCTCCAAAGATCAGTTTTTAACATATTTTCAGTCTACTGCCTATTCTACATGCTTTGCATGTAAACATGTGCCTTAGTGCTTGCTACTGCTTGCATCTCGGCGCCCAGGTATGGAAAGCCCCACACCCCCTAAAACTATGTAACGTCTAGTACTCCATGAACAGTGCAGTGGGCTACTTGAAGCTGGCACAGTTACATAGGCTAAATTATTAAACACAATAGTCTTCTGGTGTCCCATTAACCAAAAAAGTGCCCTTTTTTTAACTCGGTTAATTAGTAAAACCATCAACTCCCATTTATAAATGATCCACACACTTGGGTGATAAAATTTTTGTTATAACTTGTAAACTATGTGATTCATCTCTGACTTACAATTTTTGAATATAATTATGAAACAGGACTAAAGTGACTTTTATTTTTGTGATGAATAATTAAAGAACTGCAGACCTCCAAATTTATGCTCCTTATCTCTCTCACTGAGTTCATTTAGACCCATTTGTCAAGCTTCTTGATTTTCCCTAACATGTTTAGATGTCAAGAAATGGTTGAATTATGTTCAGTATGTTCAACCTTTCTTCAATTTCCCAGACAGTCAGGTGATGATCTGATTTGATGATCATCATAAATTCTGATTTTTGAGATGTGTATTCCCAGAATGAATTTTGTGAACCAATGCCTGATAGCCTGCTCACTCACAGAATCTTTACCAAAAGTTTTATTGGTATTTCACATTGTTTGGACTGCAGTATGTTCCTGCTTATACTTGTAAAAGAAAATTGTTTGATTTCCTTTTTTCCATGTTGTCAGAAAAAGTACTCTTAAACATGTGGAACTCACAATATAAATGAGATTGCATTTTTAACTTCACATATTATGTGTGTGCTCTTCCAATTGAAACATACAGCACTGTTCACATGGAGAAAAGTTGAACTAAAAGGCTAGAAAGTTTAAATTTTAAAAACGGTCATTTCATTTGCAATGACCCAATCTATTGTAAATTATAACATTGTCATTCATCATTGATAACTTTGACATTTTAAGTATTTAGTTTTTCTAGATTTTAACTGAAGACTGAGCTGAGATATATTTACAGATAAATAAAAAACTTTATTAATTTTATTATTACAAAGTATATGTATTACATACAACACTTAAGAAAAAAATTACAGAATATTAGTATAGAGTTTAGGCATATGGAAAAATAGACAGTTTTTTAAGACTACATTTTTTAAAATTAACAACAAACCTTTTACCAATCTTTTTGTTTTTATATTGTCTACTTGGACTTTGTTTATAAATAGGACTTATTATACTGATGAAGTTTCTGATTAGCAAAGAAAGGAAGTCCTAGTCAAAAAGTAAAATAAAATATCTTTATTTTCACCTGTACACTCTTTCTGCATGTCCTGGACCTGTAGGCCCTCTTCAACAGGTGTACAACATTTTGTGACCATTGTATAAAAGTTTGATTTAGTGTCATTGACAAACTTGTGACAAATTTTAGGTACAGTTGAACCTGTCTATTTTGAATCTCACTAGAACAAGAAAAATTCAAGTTTTATAGAGAACTTTCTACATGTAAACAGTGATAGATTTGATTGAAGATATGGTATTTTATTAATACAATAGCAAGTACACTGCATCTGTATTAGGCACAGATAAAACTTTTGATGTATGATAACAGAAATAGTTTACCCATTGTTTCTGATGCCTGATTTTTTCAACCAATAAGACACAAGTCAAACTTGTAGCTGATCAGAGAAAAGCATCATTAATTGCAACTGTGTATTGTATTGCAAGAAATGTTTCTCAACTACAATTTATGCTATCAAAATGTTGCTGAGCTTTGAAACTTCAAATTCGGTCCATAATTTGAAATATGAAGATTTTGGGAGAAAATTATTTGAGATAAACATGGAAAATATATTGAATTTAGGCTAAAAATGCAGGGGAAGAAATAAATTTTGAGATGGAGTTTTCAAGATAAACATGTCTGAGATAAACAGGTTCAACTGTATTTTGGTTAAATTTTCTAACCTTAATGCAATTAACATTATTCAGCATGACTTCACGCAACTATGGATCAAATTAATAACTTTACAGAAAATCAATGTTTTTTTTTTTTTTTTTACTGATTCTGATTAATTAGCAAGTGTCCTTTTAATTGGTACAGAACAAATTTCAACTATCCATTTGTTACTCAGAAACTCTGCTTGTTAGTAAAATTACATTAATAATTTTTAAATATTTTACTTTGTATTATGTTGTTAGGCATGTTTGTATTTTTCTGATGGCATCCATTTTGTCCAAAAGTAATAATCAGTAATGTTATTTATAACAGATTGTTTTTTTTATAATATATGTTATCTTTTTTAGTAAGTGATGATGATGATGATAAAAATATAAATTAAATGTCAATTACAGTATTAAGTTAATTTTGTTAAAAACTTTCTATTGAAAAATTAACGCACCTTAGACTTTGTTGGTTAATTAATTCTCTCTTGGTATAGACCTATGTTGGGATATTGAGGAAATCCAAACATAAACTTTTGGACCATTATTGTAATTTACTTCAATAAATAGTGTAACACATTTCTGTGTTGTTTTTACATTTAATCCATTCTTTCTCAAATTTAAGCAAAGCTTATGAATGACCACTTACATTTTATAGAAAAATGGGAGAACAAATGACCATGCCATCAGCCTAAATGTGATGATATCCTCATTTCATGAACTCATGCACAGGCTTTGAGTTTTAGGAGGTATTGGCCACGTATACTAAAGTAGCCATTCTCAATGTAAACCAAAAATAGTCCCTGGGCCAAGGGGTCTTATTTTCATCTATTTTATCTTGTGGACTTAGGGACCAGAGAATGAAATAAAAGAAAAAGGGAAACATGTTCAATTTTTTTGATAGGAGATAGGACTCTGATACTAGAACAATGGGCCCTTCTGATCAGCACTTTAAATGCAGAGGTTTTATATTGAACAGATTGCAGGATACCATCAGTATGTGGAGGGGATGATGATCTGGTTTATGATATACTGTTATGTATTCACCTTGGAGCTTAAAATTTGCTTCAAGGAAATTGCTTGATATTGGTTTTCCTGCTCTAATTTTAACATTAATTTATAGGGGTTGATATTTATGGTGTGTTTGAAGTCATCAGGTACCTCATTCTATATAATCAAGACGTTGTCTACATAATAAAGTATCCAGAATTACTTTATTACTAAAAGCTGGTAGCTAAGAATCTTTCCACTACCTCAACACCAATTCACATAGGTCTCCTTATGTTGGACTGCTCATGTACACCTCTGTACTGCATGAAGATTTCTTCACTGAATTGAAAGAAGACAGAGTGGCAAATAAAATGAGCTCACTCCAAGATGAAAGTTGCATAATGTTAATTTTTAGAATACCTGGAGTATATAAGATACCACTAAAAGATGTGAGGCTCCACACATTGTACGAATACAAATTAAAGACTTGTAAGTTGCATGAATACATTGGGGCAAAATCTTGCCCCTTCCTGGCACATCTACAAGAGCATGTGGCTGACATAAAAAAGTTTTGTGTTCCACAGCTATAGCCATGTACTGTATGTTGCAAACACTGAAATTGGAGTATTACTTAATGAAGCCAAATTAATTAATATTCTTGGTAAGGGAGAGAGAAGATTTAATATTATTATAACAGCTGGAAATTTACTTCTCTGAATGAAAAGCCAGTTGCATCTTTAAAGACTATGAGGTCATTTTCATGGCATGGAAAGCTCTGTTTGAGCTATAGTAGTCTGTGATTAATTTATGCTGTGGCTTTATTTTCATTTTGATCTATCTGTAGTTAGTTTGGGCTTTATGTGTTTATTTGGATAATTCTTACAAATTTCATCATATGAGGATTTATTCCTATACTAGTGAAAGCTATGTTAAAAAATTCCAAGACTGCATTCATTTTGGTATTATGGAGAATTTTAATTTTCAAATGGAATATTCCCTCACAGAAATATTCTGTTAAAAAATTTGTAAGCAATTTCAGAAATGGAACACAATGATCTCATGAATATTTTCTCTTTGGAAGCCCACTGAATCTTTTAAAGGTTGAAAACATTTTGTATTAATATTATTTGATTGAAGTTAAAGGTTAGTATGCTTTTACAATAACATGCTTGACAAAGTTTAGACCACATCAAAAATATTTGCTTAATATGAACTATACATAGAGTTTATTTGTGTATTTGTGATAATATACATATAATTTACATATGTTTCCTGTTTATTTCAAAATGGGTGCTGGTAAAATGTTAACTGATTATGAAAAGGGGCAAATTAGCATACCATCAGGATGGAAAATCAGACTGTGAAAATGCAAAATTACTAAACAGATCCGAAAATAGTTATAGTTTTTTAAAGATTCTGACAATTACAGAAGAAAATCATACAGAGGATAGCCATCTTAGTTATCTGATAAGGATAAAAGGATTAGTTTAAGATGTGGAAGCACCATGAATGAGCCTGCTTCAAATATTACTTGATAATTGCAGCTTCCAGTCAGCTATTCTATAAGGATATCCAGAAAGACTCTTTGTAAGTTCTTCCTGCTCACAAGTGACCTCTTTCCTGAGTGGATACGGGTATTTACAAAATGGTGGCAAGACAACTTTGTTGAATGCTTGCCATGAAAAACAGTTTTCTACACTGTATTAAAAAAGCTGGTAGCTAAGGATTTTTCCACTACCTCAATACCAATTCACATAGGTCTCCTTATGTTGGACTGCTCATGTACACCTCCTGTACTGCATGAAGTACTCTTCTTAAAGGCAGAGGACATGCAATATTTATAAGAAATGCCGTGAGTTCAATGAATTTCATTATTTGTATCACAGAATAAAAGATGATCTAGGTTTTCTTCTTGTTTGGAAGCGTGATCAGTGGAAGCAGTGATCAAACTTGCTTGGTGGCTGCTTCATGTGTAGAAGCATCATCTGGTGGTCACTGCATGCTAAATGTGGTTGCTCTAGATATGCACATTTGCTTGCATCAATTTGTCCATTCCACTTGACAGCACATTCACCCTGAGGTCTCTGGATGCTACCACATATGAATAGCTGACTGGAACTATTCTTAAAATAATGGTAGCATCAGATAATCTTCAGTATATGAAAATGAAAGCAACATCACAACTGAAAAAGCACACTTGCTGGTCAGACTCACTTTTGCACATACATAGGTTTCAAGTGGGTGAGAAAATAGAAAGGGAGTCATATCTCAAGTGGAGTCAGACTTAATGAACACTTTACTTGTTATTTACAATTCTTTTAAAAACTTGTCCCTACACTCAAAATTAAGCCTTTTCCCTTTTTATAATAACTAATAATATGAAAATTATTTTTTAATATCCAATCTCTATATTTGCCACAGTAAACCCCAGCAGACTTATTTTTGTTTCCCAAATTAAAATCAGCTCTCAAAAGTTGCTATTTTAAATCCATTGATGCCATTAAGGAAAAATTCCCTAGCAGAGCTGCACATCATATCAAAACAAGTGTTTCAGGAAGTATTCTTTTTATAACAGAAGCTCTGGATTCATTGATAGGCTTAGGAGGGGATTACTTTGAAGGCAATAAAACTGACTAGCTTCTAGATAAATGAAAATGACTATTTGCAAAGTTTGCGAACTTTGGGCAGATCTCATATGTTTTCACATTAAAATAATTGTTTGTAGATTTAATACATGGTGATCTTTAACATTTAAACTAGTTCTTTTGAAATTTTTTTAATATGTTATTACAGTAGCAATGTCAATATGAATAGTTAACAATTCATATCTAGTATATGATATTATCATTATTTTTAGTAATAAAGCTTTAAAAAATTCTAATTTTTATATTTGTTTTTTTAATTTATATATTAATGTGGATTAAACTTAGATACAATAATTTCAATGCTGCTAAGTAAAGGCTTTTAAAATTTTATTTCAGATTTTTATTCTGATTTTACTTCAAAATATTAAGATATTTTTAAATTGTTATTGTGCTAATAATCAAAAATAAATTATTTAGTATTTAGTGTATTGCATAAAGTAATAAATTGTTTACTTTAGATTATCATCAAGTGAATCTTTATGATGCTAATCTAAAATAAATATCTATATAAGTTAACAATAAATATATAGTTTATAGTGACATTCTATTACAGAATGATTACTTGTTAAATAATTTCCTCATTTATTAAATTATTCACTTGAATATATTCAATATTTTTAATTCAAAAATAAAATGCTATGCTTCTACCATAAAAGCATATTTTCATTAAGAAACGTTACTTATTAAACAATAAATTGATTCAGACATTAGAATAAGTGTTTATTGTGTACTCTATGCACATTTATTAAGATGACCAATGCATTAAAATTATTAAAATGAATTGTAATAAGATCTATATTAATAATTATAATACTTATTCATATTTTAAGGAAGAGCTCAATGATTTACTAAATTTTTATTGCAAATTTATTCTATTCCACCAAATGCAGACGATTAATTGATATATAGATTAGCATTCATATATCAATTAATGAATGCCAATTAAATCAATTAATAAATTAGTCTTCTGCATTTGGTGGAATATAATTAAAAAATAAATTTACAAAAGGAATATTATATATAATTTGAAGTTTAGACTATTTACAAAAAGTCATTTTTTAATTTTTATTTTCAAATTTTTAATTGTAAAAGTGTCAGGAACCTACAGAGAAAGGCTGACACTTGATCATTTTTAACCTTGGGATTTTTTACCAATTTTTGCCAGTGTTTTAAGAAGAGTTCTTCAAAGCAAAAATTTTTTATGACTGTTACTTCTATGGTAGTGTATAAAGGATAAAGATGGACTCAAAAGTTATTTATGACTTTTTGTAAATAGTCTAAACTTCAAATTATGAAGAAATAAATCCTGAGTTATCACAAAAATTGTAAGAATATTATATAGTCAAATTATTCAAGTTTGAAGTACAGTACTTAAATTTTTGGTAAAAAATAATTATGTAATTTATTTATGATTAAAATCTATACTANAGATTTACAAAAATTAATGTTTAAATTTTTTTTTTTATATTAGAATGGTGATGACATAGCTTCCATTTGTGATGAAATATTTTTGAATTGGGCTTCAAAGTGTGAATTAAGCTCAGAATTGATTAATACAGAATCCAATAAATGTGAGTTTCTTTAAATACCTTTTTTTTATTTTTCAAATTTTAGCAGATTTAAAGATGATATTATTTTTTAAAAATCTCTTAAAATTATTACATAATATAATAACTTAATTGCTTTATTCAACATAAAATAACTTGTAAATGAAATGATCTATTTTAATATACAAAAGCCTCATTAAATTGAAGTTTTAGGGTTAAAAAATTCTGACCAAGTTAAAGAACACTTTGTTCCAAAAGTCTCTATACAGTGACACAAATCAAGCTCACCGGTCATTGGTTCGTGCTTGACCAATGGGCTGGCTACTATGCAGTGTTCTGGGTTTTCTTCATGTGTCTAACATCTAAACAGAATCCAGTTTCCACATAGGAAGTCCTGCTAGAAGTTACCCCATTGGCAGATCATTCATGTGTTCTGTTGCCTTATTCCGTCAATCTGCTGACACAAAACTTAATGCTGACATTTTAATGTTTTGTGACTAAAGTTACATTTCACCTTTGTATGTATGGAAACTTTTGGGACACTCTGTAGAATAAAGTTTTGCATTATTTACACAACTTGATCTTATTTGCATTTGGAACAAACTTTTCAATATCCCAAACTCATTTTTGACAACAGTTTACTGGACACTATACAAAAAGAAACTTCAAAATAAATTAATCAGTGCATGTCTTTCTCAGGTCTTAATATCATTCCTTCAATATGCAGTGAACTTTGAATTTTCTTTGCACTTTCAATCTTGCAAAGTGTCATACAGAAGCCAAAATTGCAAATGTATTGTTGTTGCCAATCAAGCATTGCATTTCTATTTTTCAATCAAGTTATGCCATACAAAAAATTCTGCCAAATCAAAAAATACACACTTTTCTGACAATAAAGTGTATGATTCCCCAAATCACTCATGCCTGAAGCTAAACTAGGTTTGGCCAGTGTACCAGTAGATAAAGAGTAAATTTCAATTTTCTTACATATCAGAAAGGGATATTACTGTGGATGAGAGTCTTCTTTACAATGACTGGCTTGGATGGGTTCAGTACATCCCATTGAAAAGAGCAAGGTTCAGAATAAAATTTTATATGCTGTGTGAATCTAAAAGTGGATATATATGATCTAATTATTTACAATGGAAAAGAAACAAAGTTTGACACAGATTTTGCAAATTTTTCTGTATCTACACAAGTGGTTTTGATCCTCGTAAAACCATTTCCGAAAGAAGAGTCCCTAACAACAGAATTTTTATACATTTCCAAAGCTCTGATGGATGTTATGATTTTGAATGCTACAGATTTGTATGGAATGGTGAAAATGACCTGCAAAGATATGTCATCCTTCCTGAAATGTTATAAATTGCAAAAGAGAGAAATTTGTGCTTATAGAAGAGGAAAAGTCCTTGCTTTACAATGGAAGGACAAAAAGAATGTAGTTTTTCTGTCAATAGTGCACACTACAAATATGGTGGAGACTGAAAAACAGGGTGTAAAGTATTGGCTTGTAAACAGAAAGGGAACGAAGAAGCACTGACCTCACTAATTGGATTCAAGAATGGTCTGAGCTTAAACAACTTGCCAGGTGGCAAACACCAGGCAGTAAACAAGTGGGTGACCACCCACATCGGAGATGGACGAATGCAAAAGTAAGCTTCACACTCACATGATCCAAGTGGGCCTGGGTGAAAGCTGTTTGCAAGGAAGATCTGTAATTGGTTGGAAGTTTCTGTCCAAAAAATCCTTAAATTGGCAAGCGAGAGAGAGGGGTGGAGAAAATAGGCTCAAGACTGGTAACAGGAAGGCTCAGACACTTGGAAAGCCCGCTGAGATTAGAGAGACAGAGTGAGCATATTCCTCTGCAAGATACCTCAGGAACAGGTAAGTGCTAAGACTGTGTGAACCGTGCAGTAGAGCCAATCCACATGCTGACAGTCCTCTCTAGAACTTAATTGTTCCTGAAAGCCAAACTAGTACTTGAGGAGGCACGCTTTGTATATCCTGTGTTTACTGTGTTTTTCAACTTTATATATATATTTATATATATATATATATATATTGTAAATAAATATACTGACTTTCTTGAGTGTGGAGGTGTGCTTTCACCNAAGAGAGAAATTTGTGCTTATAGAAGAGGAAAAGTCCTTGCTTTACAGTGGAAGGACAAAAAGAATGTAGTCCTTCTGTCAATAGTGCACACTACAAATATGGTGGAGACTGAAAAACAGGGTGTAAAGTATTGGCTTGTAAACAGAAAGGGAACAAAGAAGCACTGACCTCACTAATTGGATTCAAGAGTGGTCCAAGCTTAAACAACTTGCCAGGTGGCAAACACCAGGCAGTAAACAAGTGGGTGACCACCCACATCGGAGATGGGCAAATGCAAAAGTAAGCTTCACACTCATACGATCCAAGTGGACCTGGGTGAAAGCTGTTTGCAAGGAGGATCTGTAATTGGTTGGAAGTTTCTGTCCAAAAAGTCCTTAAATTGGCAAGCGAGAGAGAGAAGGGGGAGAAAATTGGCTCAAGACTGGTAACAGGAAGGCTCAGACACTTGGAAAGCCCGCTGAGATTAGAGAGAGAGAGTGAGCATATTCCTCTGCAAGATACCTCAGGAACAGGTAAGTGCTAAGACTGTGCGAACCGTGCAGTAGAGCCAATCCGCAGGCTGACAGTCCTCTCCAGAACTTAATTGTTCCTGAAAGCCAAACTAGTACTTGAGGAGCCATGCTTTGTATATCCTGTGTTTACTGTTTTTCAACTTTCAACTTTATATATATATTGTAAATAAATATACTGACTATCTTGAGTGTGAAGGTGTGCTTTCATCAAAACAATTTCAAGTCATGCTTAATCTGGCAAACCAATTCAAAAAGACGGAGTTTAGGAAGGAAACTTCACTTAGGAAGAAAGTAATAAAGCTAAAGGTTGTTTTGGATTGTAAAGACACAATGACAGGTGTCAATTGTGCAGATCAGCATATTTTGACCTACCCAATCTCCAGAAAACAAGGAGAAAGTACTATTAAAAGATGTTTTTCCACTTGCTGGAAATTACTGTATGGAATTCCTTTATTCTCTATAGTAAAGCTGGGGATAAAAAAAAAGATTTACTACAATGTATTTTGAATTTGATGGAATGAATTCTTGAAATATATAAGGGAAGTGTTATTTCTCCAAAAATGGATTGGACAGGGAAAGCACCTCATCCATTTCGATTGACAGAAAAGCATTTCCCTGAAGCTGTACCATCAACTGAAAAGAAGAGCAATACCATAAGAGTGTGTGGAGTATGTTCTAAGAAGCATAATGCATGAGGTAAATATGGAAGAAAAAAAACACAGTATTGCCGTTCACCACATGAAGTTATGTCATGCTTAATACCTTGCTTCAAAACCTATCATACACACAAAAATTTATAATAATCAAAAATTGCTATATGTATGAATGTTCACTAGCATATTTAGTAAGAACATTACAGTATTTTTCAATAAAAATTCATTGTAATTATGTGTTTCTGAATTTTTTCTTGTATCTGAGTTAATTTAGGATAATAATTTATATCCATAACCATCTCAAGTGTCTACTTGGTTTTTGAAATACAGGTAGGCCTCCTACAACGCAGTACCTTTACAACACGTTTTCGCTCCAACACGGTTGGAAAAATGCGGAAATTTTCTTACAACACAATTTACGGTATTTAGAAACGAATTATCTTTCACATAACAGAAAAATCGCAATGGTTCACGTGATACGAACTGCAGTTCGGCATACAGAACTAAATGTCCTTGAAAACAGCTGTTTGTTGCCGTTGGCATGTTATTTATTCCCTTGAAAGTTTCAGGGGAAGACCGGTTTCTAGACAGATGTGCATCAGTTACCGTAAACACTCAAATATATCATTAAATTTTCCATCATTTATACTGTTTCAATAAGTGGGAACAGCAAAAATGGTCCAAAATACAGTATAAACTTCTATTGGGTGTATATTTTTAACAACATAGTGAAGAAAAGTTATTTTTTGCAATTTTTACTGTCCGCAAAACTGATTGAAAAAATTTTAGCCATAACAATGCCGAATGAAAAGAAAGGACCGTCGTTAAAAAGGAAATTTATAACTCTTCAAAGATAGAAATTTTGGATCAAATTAAAAATCAAGAGCGGATAACTGATATTAGTAGACATTTTAATTTAAATGAGTCAACGATTCAGTCGGGAGAAAAGATCAGAAATTTGGTCGCATCCAGATTATCTATTCTCGCGAAAAATGTTGCTCGTCCGAGAGCGCCTATAATGGAAAAAATGGAACAAGCACTAATATTATGGGTAGAAGATATGAACAAGAAACGGTTGCCTTTAAATAAAACTGCACTTAAACACAAAGCCTTAAAAAAATTTTATTATTTAAAACAAATGGGACAGTCGTCAGCTGATGAAACCAATGTTAAATTCGTGGCTAGCAATGGCTGGTTTGAAAAATTCAAAAAACGCCATTCAAATGCCAAGTTTTTCTCTTTTTAGAACTGAATCCCAGTTTTTGTATTAAGTNTGTTAAATTCGTGGCTAGCAATGGCTGGTTTGAAAAATTCAAAAAACGCCATTCAAATGCCAAGTTTTTCTCTTTTTAGAACTGAATCCCAGTTTTTGTATTAAGTTGGTGTCTCCTATAACGCAATTTCCCACAACGCGGTATTTTCAAGGAACATTTTCAAGGAATACCGCATTGTAGGAGGCCTACCTGTAATTGGAAATTATTATTATTATTATTATTATTCAGAGTACCATATTTCAAAATAGATTTAAAATCATTTATAAAAAAATTAGATCACTGACACATCAGAAAATAATAGGTATGTTAAGAGATTAGAGTTAATTGTTTTATGTTGTTTCTTTTTTATGAGAACATCAAGTTTATCTTTGTTGATTCATTAGATGTAGTCACCAATTGTCTTCTATGGGCCTCGTCTGTTTTACTGTCTATGTTTAAACATAAGCTTAAAATCCTCTATAAGCATATATCAAAATTTTACTTTGTTTTTTAGACCTCACCTGCCAAAAAAAAAAAGCTTTTCAAATTTCCTACTAAAGCCTAGTACTTGCATGCAGTAATGGATGACAAGAACTGTCAGTGGAAGAGTAAAATGACATCACTTTTTCCATCATAGAAAGCAGAATGGTAAAAATTATACCAATAGGAAGGCTGTTTAGAAATGATGTCATGAGATGAGAGCATTTAAACTATGGATGTCAGCATGGTTATGAAGCATGGAAGTTTAACATCAAGTTCAATTAATTGCAATAATTTAACAAATACCTCAATAGGCATTCAGAGAAACCTACATTTGGATAAAATATATTTTCTTTATTTGCTATATTACTATTTGAATTAAATGTGACAATGCCGAAGGGTCCCCTCTATGCTTTGGCACCACAGGACCGAAGGGTCGACATTNTACCTCAATAGGCATTCAGAGAAACCTACATTTGGATAAAATATATTTTCTTTATTTGCTATATTACTATTTGAATTAAATGTGACAATGCCGAAGGGTCCCCTCTATGCTTTGGCACCACAGGACCGAAGGGTCGACATTGCATCGGCGAAGACGGCAATGACAAATTTATCAGGACTGACACCACTGTGTCTTCTGGGTAGACACAGAGACCGTTACATTCGAATTTATGTGCGAACAGTTGTGTATGTGGACTCTTGGACTCGGGATGGAGACCAATTAAGCTAAAGAAGTGCGCTTTACAATTCGATTATAGAAATTAATATCCGTTTATTGATTATATAGGCCTAAACTAGTTACACTTATGCTTTTAGAGAGAGAGTTTACAAGTGTTTGCGCGTGGTATTTACCTGAAGATCGCTTTCTTGAATTGGGTCCTTTTTCTGGTGAAGACATGTTCTTGGTGGGTACTTGGACTCATCGGCGGTTAAGCTTCTGATCGCTGGTATTGGAGGAGCATCGGCGGTAAAATGTATCCAAGTGTACACACACGACCAACCTTCGAGGACGCAAACTCTTCTGTCAGGCGAACTCCCTGTTGCGTCATCGAACCTTCTCCTTTATTTGGGGGTCCTCCCCCTCACAATTCTTGTCCTTCTTTGGTAAAATCGTTCTTCACGTCCAGTGGCGATTTTTCGCATTTGATTCCTAGTGACACATTCGATGTGTCACTCAAATAGGGAAGTAAGTTCATGGGAAAGGATATAATCATATCCGTAGCGATCTTTTTTTTTCGAACAAAATTTTTGAATAAAATTTTCTTTTCAAGTCCGGTCTCTCACATAAACATTAATGTCAAATAGATGCACAATGCATAAAGTATTCATGAACCTGTAATTATAAATTGGGTATCAAAGTATTCAACATTCCTAACTTCAAACAATTTTGAAANCTCAGAAACAAAGAAGAATTTGAAAAACGCATATAGAGGATTTTAAGCTTATTTTTGACTTTTGAATCTATGCCTAAAATATTGGTGTGGCATTTCATTACACTATATATTATACCAATGTTTAATTTGTAATATGATGATGGCCTTTACTTTTGATAAAACCTTTTTACTATGAATTTTCTATGAAAAAAGGTTAATAATTAATTTTTTGTGAAATTGTTATTTGAGGTTGTTTTACTTGTCAGTATTTAATTTATAATGCAAAGTTTTTTTTAGCAAATGTTGATGTTGATGCCAAAATTGCCAGTATTATGGAAGCTCAAGCCAAATCTGTAGTAACTGAACGTAAAATAACCAATGAAGATAAAGAGTTAAGAGAAGCTATTTTAGCTCATTACTCTCAAGTCTGTGAAACTGATGAGTATCCTTTTCATTTTGAATTTTATATATAAAATAACAGTCTGTTCTTTGTAACATATACTATGAAACATTAATATTTAAACACAGTTTGTTTACTCCTTTCACTCACACATTCAGTTTTATAATTAAATTTATAAAAATAAAATGAGAATGCAATTTCATAAATAAAATATGATTCATAAATAAATTACTACAATAACTGGATGCATAATGTATAATTAATTCAAAGAAATCTAAATCCTGTAAAGAACAAAAATGGAACATAAAACAAAATTTTTTAAAATACAAAAACTATCAAATGATTTTAAAACATATTAAATGTCACATGCGCAAAGGTAAAATCAAAAATACATTAACAATTTACCATAATAAAATAACAAAATTGAATTAAAATAAGAGATAATACACAAAATAACCTAAATGTAAATAAAAATAAAATAATACAAACATTATGATTCATAAGACAAAGGTAAAAACAAAAAATGATGTCAAAATAAGTGTAAGTAATTTCAAAAATGTCCTCCTGGTATGTGACAAAGGTGCTGTTAATTGTGGTCCCTTTATTAAGTGCTTTATATATCTTGGGTATTTCCAAATATTTTAGATGAGAGGGTGATAATGTGCAGAGTATTAGTTTAGTTCTGTTGAAAAAACACACTGATATCCTGATCCTAGGTAAAGGCTGCCAGAGTAGTTGTAGTTAAGTGCTTTCTGATTGAGTCTTGATGTTCCTTGATCCTAATCTACAGAGATCTGCAGGTGGCAGCAATATATTCATAGGAACATTTTGCCCTGCTGTCTTGTAGAGGTTCTGAATAAACACCTGGAAGAGATGAGAGATGATGTTCCTAAGTAGAATGACATCCCTCATCTCTTTCAGGTGGATCCTTATCATTCGTAGGGGTGCCTTTTATATGTAGTACAAACATTGGATCATTGTGCTATATCCATTTAGATGCTATTCAATAATTTGTTGTAAGTGGCCATTTTGAGTACTTAGTCTCTCAAATCTGGAATTTAAGTGAGAATAATATTGTTGTTTTAAGTGGCAAAGTCAGGCTAGTATCCCAAAGTTGTAGCCAACCAATAAATACAGCCAAGTCTTTTTGTCTGAGAGACACATTAGGACAGTGTATTATCTATTTATTTATTTTAATTCCATTTTGTTAGTTTATTATTTTTGTTATTATTATTTGTAGTTTATTATTAAAATTGTTAACGTATTTTTACATTTTGCGTTTGCACTGGTGACATTTAGTACATTTTAAAATCATTCAACAGTTTTTGTATTTTAAAAAATTTTATTGTGTGTTCTATATTTTGTTCTAACATCAGAACCTAAGAATAACCTTTAAAAAAAGCTGAAAATCGAGCGGGTTGTGGAGTCAGTAAAAAAACACTCGACTCCAGCAAAATTAAATACCAAGTCATTTTATGGGGGGCAGAGGTGCTTGTAGGGGGTTACCCTACTCTGAACTCTAAAAGGAGCCCGGGCATTTACCCAAATACTTTTATAGTTAGTATTTTTAATATTTATTAGTATAAAAAAAATAATTTTTAACAAATATTTAATAAGAGGAAAAAGGGGGTGTGATAAAATTCTACATCTACATATCTTTATTCTACAACTTTTGCACTTCAATTTCATCTTTCCAGAAAAGTTAGTCCAACTAAAAAGTGTGCGATCTAGCTACTTCAGCCCCTTTTCAGTAAGAAAAGTATATACTCTGATCAATTAGTCTGGCTCATTCAGAAATAGAGTACTTATTTAGAGTGGAGATAATAAAGGAATGAATCAAAAATATTCAAATTCAATTGGATCAAAATAATTTAACTACTAACACAAATACTACAAAGAAAACTATTGACACATATTTAATAAATTAAATTGTTGCATTTTGTATTTAAAATAAATGAATTATAACAAAATACAAAAACATTTTAAAAAATTATTAAATATAAAATAAATTTTCTTTCATTTAAGAAAAAATAAATAAATTTAAAATGCCGAAGTCAGAGTTGACATTTTTTCCTGACTCTGACTCCAACTCCACATCCCTGGTTCAATTAATAAATTTGTATTCGTCACTGAATTTAGGTGTCTTTGAGTTAATTAGAAATTTTGATTATTTTATTTGTGTAATTTTGTTTCTCTTACTTTTTATGTTTTTCATGTGTTATATTAATTGTATTTAATATTTTTAATCAAAGATAGAAGTATCTGTGTATATTGCTTTAATATATAATAGAGTTGATGGTGATGACGACGCTACCAATCGAGGAAGCAAGGAAGCAGGAACCAGTGCTAGAAGTGCTAGTACGATAACAAGTGATCCATGTATCCTTTAAGAAACTATGCCATATTGAATAGTAATAGATCATTTACAGAATCAGTTATTTTATCTAGTTATTTAATAAATTTTTATTAGGAAATCAATTATTATGTCTTAACAAGTAAGTTATTGTAAAAAACACAAATGTAGATGATGTCATCCAAGCTGAAAGAATAAAAAGAGAAAAATCAAAGGCAGAAAATGAAAAGAAAAAGGCACAAGATAAATTAAATAGAGAAAAACAAAAACAGCAGCAGCAACAGAGGAAAGAAAAAGAAAAGAAAAGAACACAAAAGCTGGAACGAAAGAGATAAAAAAATCATTTTAGAAATTATTTATTTTCCCCCTTTTTTCAAAAGCAATACAATATGATCAGCTATGAATTCTGTGATATACATAAAATATTGCCTAATACCCCCATTGCCAAAAACTCAGAAGTATACCATAGCTTGTAAAAAAATTTTAGAACACCTGTATTTGTATAGTGTTGAAAAAAAACAAACTATTTATATATGTACTGTTATGTGTAATTTTTCCAATTTATACAATACTCCATCAGATAATGTACATTTGTATATATATATATTTAGGGTTGACAAGTATCAAATTCACAAATAATAAACAAACACTCAATTTTGAAACAATCAAACAAATGGAAACATTAATTTTTTCTTAAAAATTTGACTCAGTTTGTGTAAATAGAATTATGATTTAAATTTTAGTTTCCTTTTAACAGAACCTATTTATTTATTTATCAATATTTTTTCTATATTTTTATCATTAATGTCAACTCTGTAGTAATAACTGGAAGCATTTCTCCACAATTACATCTGCATTTTTGTATCATTGTTTAAAAATATATATATATATAATTACTCTGCTTCTATGATAAAATTTAAAATTTGATCCTTGTGATCTTTACACTACTAATATTTTAAAAAAATATGAGAGGGTTCCATTGGATTTATATTACTTATTACACTCCCGTCACAGGGTTTAACAGAGAGATATCACGAATGAACATATTCGTATCATGAATACAGAAATAATTTGCAACTATTTGTGGATTAATCTCGCTGAAGTGTTCAAGGTAGAAAAAAAAAGCATTAGACAAATTGTATGAACAAGACCAGTCGCTAAAACAATTGAACAGATTGCACGAATGATTGGAAGGATTTCATCTTGAACTTGCGGTGACAGGAAATACTACTGATTATACGGAATAGAGCAAACAAATCTCACAATTTAATGGGAGGATTTTGCCTAATTATGGACAGATTAGTATGTTGCTCTCACAAAAACTATTCTGAGGTTTTTTCCCCTTTTGATATGTATAAAGTTTGATGTGATAGATGTTTTGTAAATATTTCTTGTAGTACCACAGTTGCCAAGTGAAATAAAAGGAAGAGATACAACTTTGAAAAACAATTAATAGGGTTGACATATAGACAAAAGTGCTAAGTTTCAATGAGAATAAAATTCTCTTACTGATGCATGAGAATAAAGATTTACCTAGGACCATCACCTGTCCATTAAATAAAGGGAGTAATATAAATCTCATAGGTATTTTGGCTTCAACTGGAATTTTGAAACAATGCTGTGAATGGCTCGTACAGCTCAGAATTATTTGTCCTTTCTATGTGAATGTTGTGACAATCTGAAGAACAGATTTCCAGAATTTCTACAGTATTTAATAATGGACAATGTAAAATTTCATCACTCTGACATCATTACATCATATTTTGACAGAGCAGTCCATAAATTACAAATACTTATCATCATATCCATTGCAACTTAATCCTATAGAGGAATGCTTCTCCACATTCAAACACATTAGTGTCATACCTAAAGCTGCAACAACTGGTGAGTTGATGCGTGTCATCAACCTTATCATCAATACAATGAATTTGGACATTGAATTCCATCTTCTTTACCTGCTCCAAAGAGCATATAATGCATTACTTTTAGTATAACTTCATTGGACACCAACTGCTGAAATCTTATTTCTGTAGCAATCATCTCTGTCAAAGTAAGAAGTATCCATTTTATGTAATTTATGACTGCCTTTTTATTAATGAGACACTAAATATTCGAATTTGGAATGACAGCAAATAAAACTTAGTTTGTTATATTTTTTTGTGAGAGTTGCTTCTTACATAAATTTACATAATGCAACAGAATAATTTTTGCAAGAGAAACATACTAATTATCCATAATTAGGCAAAATCATTCTCCTAAATTGTGGGATTCGTCCTCTCTATTCTGCATAATCAGTAGTATTTCCTGCCACACTATATTTGAGGCAAAATCCTTCCAATCATTCCTGCAATCTGTTTGATCATTTTTGCAATGGATCTTCCAGTTTGCAATTTGTCTAATGTTTTTCTACTTCAAACACTTCTGCAAAATTAATCCACAAATAGTTGTAAAATGTATTCATTGATGTTCATTTGTGAAATCTCTCCACTAAACCCTGCCATGGAATGTAAAATAACTGCCACATTTGAATAAACAAACAAATTTGATATAATAATTCTTTTAAATAAATGATTTATAAAATCATATTTTACAAATCTTCTAACATTGTGGACTACTATTTATCTATGGAGAATAATTGGAAATTCATGTTAGATATAAGCATATATAAAATTTAAAATATATATTGTCTTGATGATAACATTTTGACCTATGCAAATTATTCTTTGAAAATTTATTTTACTTCCAAGAATGCAGATGAATAATAATAAAATTATTGTAATGTAATAATATATTATTTTCCAACAATAATAAATTTATTGCATTCATGTTGACTAGGGGTTCTTAACTTTGTTTTGTACTACAGATCCCATTGGTCCCCAATTCAAAATAGCATTTTTAAATATATAAAATACATTGAACATTTTAATCTTGTAGATAATATTGGTTGGGACAAGTGTTTAAAGAAAGATAATGCACTTGTAAAGAAAAAATGGCTGATATCACTTGAATCCAAAAAAGAAATCAAATTAACAAATCTGTCTGAACACATGGTTATGCACACTTAAAAATGACACTGTTCAGGAGGTTTCTCTGCATCTCAAGTTTGATCTTTAAGCACATTTAGAAAAGTTGATGAGTGGTGCATTTGATGAAATTGTATTCATTTAAAGAAATCCAGTACTGGAAACATTTGATATGTTTTTAAAAATGACACACTGATATGTAAAAGTTTTTATATAATCCAAAATGCTGTAAGATGAAACACACTAGCAGGATTTGACTTTTCCTTCTAAAACAAAGAAAATTTTCAACGAGTGCATCATTTTTTTCCACAACAAGCAAATTAGCCATTATGTAATGGATAATTTGCAAGTTCAACAGCCTTAAAGTGAGAAGAGAAAAATGCAGAGTATGGTTTGGTACTCAATTATAATAATACACAGGCTGTAATCAATTGGTGTTTGTTTACTTCGGCAACTGTATAAGTGACTATATATATCAGACATGGGCAAATGCGGCTCTTGCTGAAAGTGTTAATTTCTGCTTGTTATTATTATTTTTACAATTTTACTTCCACAATTTTGTGAAAATATGTTTATTTAAAAAAATTCAATATTTGTTTTATATTATATAATAAAATTGCAGTACAGAACTGCGGCTCCCATGCATTTTGCAAAACCTACATTTTGGCTCCCACTGAACTCTTGCTTGCCCACCCCTGATATATACTGTATATAGTCGCTTATATAGTTGCTGAAGTAAACAAACACTGAATTGATGGTCCATTCATCTTATTCTAAATTTTCTAGTTGCAATCCATTTGGTACCAGTGCTTGAGTCGTCCTCAAGGTTAATAATTTCTGATATTTTAACTTGAACAATATTGTAGATGTCTTTGGTAGCATCTCAAAATAAGTTATTTGAACAATTATTCAAGATGAACTTTATTTGGGAAGAGGAGGAGCTATTTTACCACCAACAAAAAAATTTTAGTTAGTTTTTTTAAACATGTTTACTCGATAAACATGCTCAACTGTATTTCAAAAGTTATATCTGAGTTTATCTCAAAAACCACTATCTCAAAATGTTTTCCCCCTCCATTCAATATATTTTCCATGTTTATCTCAACTAATTTTCTCTAAAAACCTCAATCTCAAATTATGGACCGAAGTGTCAATTACAATTTCAGAGCTCAGCAACTGCATTTTGATAGCATAAATTGTAGTCAGAAACATCTTTTGCTATATAATAAACAGTTGCAATTTTCTCCAACTGGCTACTAGTCTGGTTTACGTCTTACCGGTCAAAGAAATTCGGGCATCGGAAAGTACTGACAATATGTTTCTGTTAAGGTATGTCAAAAATGTTTTATTTATACCTAATATGGATATGTACCGTACTTGCTATTGTATTAATAAAATACCGTACTCCAATTAAACCTATTGCCATGTAGAGCATCCGTATCTTGGACTTGTCTATCTTGAACTTTTTCTCTTTTCCATGATGTTTCAGATAGGTTTGGCCATATTTTTCATACAAGATAACTCAATTCCTAAAAAATGTAAGTATTTTAAATAGAAAAGATATGAAGATGAAAAAATACTGGCAGTTTCCAACTTCTGGACTTAATGCATTCCTAAAATGTATCCAAAAGTCAGGAAGTGGAGTTACATGTTATAAAAGGAGTTCTGTTCCCAGAGATCTAAAAAATAGTCTCAGGTAAAATTTTTGTTATTTTTATCTTAACAATGCATAAAATATTTAAAATTTTAAAATCATAGAATCAAGCAATAAAAATTACTAGTCTGATACTTTTTACAAATGATTTTTCTGTTACCAAAACTAAGATGGCAGAAAGCATCGTTGCATGACACTTGATATTTATATCAGCTAAACATATAGAAAAGTGTGAATTTGATATATGAAAATCAATTTAAGAGATATTCTTTTGTATGTGGTAATTTTATAAATTGTTTGCAATTTGAGAACTGCTTCTATAAGAAGAAAGTATGTTTCAGGTGCAATATGAAAAAATTGTAGACAAATTCCCACCGTCTCTCTTTTTCCTTAATCTCGAAAAAAAAGTTAGATAGATGAAATCCAAGATCAGATATGGAGATCCTGACTAACTATATGTGACTTTTGATTTGGACCAGAAGTCGTTCTTTCAATTCAAAACTTTTCCCACGAAAGCAATTAATAGATGACCAGCATGACTCTATGGTTAAAGGAAAGTATGATGTACAGGACTACAGGAAGCCAGTATTAATTTGAGGTGGAGAGCATATTTTAAATTAAATAAATTAAAAATTGCAACCCGGCATTGTGACAATGTCACAATAAATAACTACATACATTACTCTTATGTGACTTATTAATTTTAGAATTATTTTTTATGAATTATATCTTAAAAGATTTTAAGAAATTCTTTTGAATTTGCTTTCAAAATAATTATTCGACTTTGGGTGAGTAAAAGTTGCTTCATATTTCGAATATTTTCTCGATAATATTAATGTCATTAATTAGATTCTTTTTGTAACTTGTTGCATATTATAACAATATTGTGGTTTGAATATTTCATTAAAATAAGTTTTTTGTTGTTGAATTTATTTTGTAAATTATTTTAAAATTGTTTTAGATCGTTCTTCATTTTAGAATATCACAAAAGGGTTATAAATAGTAATGGATTGATTTTCAAACCAAATCGGAGATGTAATCAAATTGTCTAAATCGCCGATAACCAAGCAATTGTTCTTGAATGTTTTCGGGAATTCTATAAAATTGATGATAATATTTTTATTATAAATACATTCTAATGAATTCTGTGTATTTAATTTTGTCAAGAATCAAAGATATAAGTTGAAATTCTCTTTAGTCAAAAAATATTTATCTGTAATGAATAGACAGGTCATTCACCCTCTATTCAGGTGGCAAAGACACCAACTGCTTTCAAGACTTGGATTCAAGTTGAAATTTCCATAGCTGGATTTTTCCCAAATTTATTAGGTATCATCTTTACCCATCCATCCAAACCAGTGAAGGATGTGGAAAAGTTCTGTGTCAAAATGTCTTATTTTTTATAATTTAATTGATTATTCATAATCAATATTTTATTTAATTTTTTATTTATATTTTAAATTGATCATTTTTATACTGTAGATCAGCCTAGTTTGAATGAGCTTTTTTAAGTTTACTGAAATGTGCTGAGTCACACAAATGAGTTTTTCATTAAGGATTGATTCCACTTATGCACTAAAGAAGCTCAATATATGCAGAACAGTTAACTATCTGAAACATGGATTGCCGTATTGACTCCACTTATAGTGTATATCAGGTGTGGCCAAACTTTTATCCCTTAGGGGCTACTTTTTTGGTAAAATATAGTCTGTGGACGACTATGAATATGGGCAAACAATTTTAGGATTTTTATATGCGCATGCGTTAACATTCATTTGCATTGTTCATCAGGATAAATACAAACAGTATGGCTACAGTACATTGCACAGATAGTCTATTATTGTAAGAATAAATTATCGAATTAAGATTTTTAAACATTAATTTAAGCGAAAGCAAATTGTTCAACTTTAGCTTCACGGGCTACTTTCAAAACCTTTACGGTCGACCGCGGTCTACGTGTTGGCCATCCCTGGTGTATATTGTTTCATAGTTTCCAGAGTTTAAAAAACACTGCATTCATCATTTATATAAACAAGTGTTGTTTTACAAGCAATTTTAATTAGTTTTTCTTTTATTCAAAACCATCTAACAAAGACTAAACTTAGACATCTTAGAGAATATCCTTTTGAATGGTTGTGTTTTCTATGAAAAAGCAGTGTCTGATCATTTTAATGCAAGTAATAGTCTGAATTCATACAATTTTTCTGGAGGAGATTTTTAAAATTTAAGAAGATAACTGCTTTGCATTAATGTGAAGAGTCTAAAATTTGAGAGAGAAATTTGTCATATTACTGGAAACTGTTGTAAAACTTCCAAAGAAAAATAAAAATCTTTTTAAGAATGTTTTACCTAGAGATGGATGCACATGTGGTGCAGAAGTAAAAAGTGGCATTGCAAAACGCATCTTTGCCACAAGATGCTGTAGCCATGTGTGTGAGTGACGAGCAGAAAGCAGTTTTTCTCTCAGTGCATGCACTTGGCATTCTGGACAAAGAATGTGAGAGATGCAAACATGACTTTTACCTTATGTATTTTGTTTTACTTACCGAGATGTTAACAAAAGAAAAAGTGCATGATAAACATTTACAATTGATTTTTCTCAAAATATATTTCCATATAAGATTTTCTTATGCTTATATTTATCTCTCTCTCTCTCTCACTAAACCTATATTGTAATTTTAAACCCTTATTAAAATAAATTTCTTCTAATATAATGATCCTTATTCAGAAACCTTTCTGTGTATTGAAAGTAGTATTCAAACCTGCCATTAAATAAATACATGTGTTGCACACTTTCTGTGTGTACTTGCACAATAAACATAATTACCAAGATGAGCTGCAATTGGTTGTAGAAAAGGTCTCTATTAACAAGCTGCAAAAGTTTGGACCTCACTCTACTTTTGCAACATGAAAAAAACGACAACATTTTGAGCTTGCCACTTTTCCATTACAACTGCACATATACAAGTTAATACATTAATTATTTTTAAGAGAAATTTATTCATTTTTAAGACTATTGTAGCAAAAAGATTGATATGATGGTTAGCCAGGTTTTAATATCATTTTCTGCTACAATAATCCTAAGTAACAAATTAAGGCTCATTCCCTGACTGCCCTTAGCAGGTTGATCCTGGCATTTTGAATTGCAATTTAAGCAATACTATGTCGACAATATTAGTTTTATATATTTTGTTAAACTACTATATTAATTAAAATGTAAAATGTGTGTTACAATTGTTTCAACAAATAATTCTGAACTGCTTATTTAATTATTTTAATTTCATTTATTTCTATATATGCAATAAAGCGCATTATTACATTTAAGAGAGCTGCTTGATTTGGCAAAGATCACTTGAGAATTGGAACAATAAATAAATAAACATTTTGTATGTGTAAATTAAACAACATTATGCAACATCAACATAAAATTTCAACATGGATTTCAATCCACTTTCACATAACCATAAACATATATGTATATAATAACGAGCATAACTTAAAAAATCATTTACAAAACAAATTGAGTATTGTCAACGTAACAATTTATCACTTTACACAATAACGAACAGTAATATCCTTTCTTTGTTTAAGAAGATTGTCAAATTGATAAAGAACACATTAATCGAAATGCCGAACTGATGGCATTTTCTCTCTGTGCAATACACAGAGAGCAAGTTTTACTCTAATATCATTCGAAACCTGGAACTTTAATAGGTCGATATGACAATTAGTTTTCGTTTACGGAGACTTTTTGGTCCAAATATCAAACGTGATTTAAAATAACAATTGTAGCTTGATAGGAAAAAATGTTTAAAAAATACTAAAATCTACTTATCTGCATATATTATTAGTTTCTAATTTCAAAATGTTACTTTCCTCCCTTTTAGAGGATAGCTGAAGTTTTTGTGTATAAATACAATATAGTTATAGTATACAACAGATGCAATTTTGTGTTTGTTTGATATGCAATTAACTTCTTCGACTGCAATCTGTATAATATCAATATAATAATAATAGACCAATTTCTTATTATTCAGTCCACTTTGCGAATGACTGACTAAAATAAAAATAAAATCTAACTTTTTGGTACATTGTCATATTCTTTGTTACTTAAAGAACATTTATGGCATTTAAACTAATTGTACTAAAAAAAATAGTGTGTTTTCACAAACACAATTTACCCTGTTCAATATGTGTTTGGACAAGTATGCTTCTTCCCGAAAGAAAATCATACTAATACTTTTAGTCTCGGCGGCGGTGGCGGATTTTCATAAACCAGATCTTCGACTGCTTTGTATTCGCTGATCAGATTTGTCACACTCAGGATTGCTTCCTGAAAGTCATCTACTCCCATCCCGTCGACTTGCAAGAAATGATGAAGATGGGCCTAAAACAAACAATTTAACATAAATTTTAAATATTTTACTAGTCAAAAACACTGGAATAATAATTTCATAGTATTTGATTAGTTATAAAGTTTGTGTGGGAAAAAAAAAGTTTTCCTTGCATTTTAAATAATTATTCAGACATATTCAATGTCTTGAATAAATTAGAAAGGAACAAAATTCGTTTACATGTGCACATTGGCACTTATTCAACACTCAATTTAATCCATCCAATACAGGAATCTAGCACAAAAAAAAAAACATGAAATTATTGGAGTATATAGATGTGTGCCATCAAATTTGATGGTATATTTCTTAGTAAAATTTTTATGTCATGTACACAAGTATAGAAACAAAATAAACAGATCAAAAGAGATTGTAGATAAACATGAATATGCCATTCTTCATGATTACATCTGTTCTCACATTGTTCTGAGGAAGTTAACAAACAAGCAACATGAGGAATGTGTGCTCATCAGTAGAGAACTGATTGACAGTTGATCCAGATATATAAACAATGATTATTGATGATGAAATCTGGTATTTTTTGTAATTCTGCAAAGCAAACCTGTCACCCTGATGCCACCTAGAAATTGGCCTTCATCATCAAGGCAGAAAAAATTTTACCTCAACTGTTCCTAGGGAAGATTAAAAGAAAAAACCCAAAAGCATTATGTGAAAGGCCTGACACATTGAGTTTGTTCCTGATAACACCTGTTAACAGTCTTACATTGACATTCCTGTTTAAATCCATAATGCAATTAGAAGAAAACATCCCCATCTCTGGCAAGCAAGATGTCTGTTTTTCATTGCAATAATGCCTTGATGCATCACTTGCAGTTAGTGAATATCTGACAAAACACCATGTGAGAAATTGGACTTCAATGTAAACAATTTAACATTGTATCAGCTTTCACACCTTGGAGTAAGTCATTTGTTAAGTTCTCAGCAGCAGTAAAAGCGATGCTTTCTCATAACATCCCAACCTACTATCTCAATTTCTCCAAAAACTGCAAGTTTAGGCAGTCGTCGCCAGTCCCTCAACAGAATATCATCCCTAATTTAGTGCCAACGGATATACCTAGTTCTTGCAGATACTTCAGTTCAATGAATACTTTCTTATCTACGGGTACACATTTTGAAAACTAACTCTATCTCAGGGGACTAAGATACATTGCTACACAATCAAGAACACCTCCCACGAACAAGCATCAGACTATTTCAAACATCACCACCCCAAGGTATTTATTGCCACATGAATCTCATGTAAACATTCTCTCTCACAACCACTTTCATTTAAAGATCCCTTGAAGTTAAGGCCTAACGAACTGTAACAAAATTGTAAATTGTATCATGTTGTCTATGTAATTAAATTGTTATTAGTTACTTGTTACCCAAGTGATTCACTTCCGGTATGCTGTCTCTCAACCCATCTCCATCCTCCTATGCATGTGGCAACTCTCATGACCGAATCAACACACTGTCTCGGTTTCTATGTCAATTAGGACACAGTGGTGTCAGTCCTGACGAGGCACTAAAGAGTTCCGACCCTCTGGTCACACACCAGATACATTCCTCATTCAGACTTTCATGTTCTAACCAAAACAGAAGCCAGAATGAAAAGTGTTGCACTTTACATTGGTTATACCAAATGGGCTTCAAGACTCACAGAAGTACATAACTGTTGAAAATACTTAAATATAAAACTTTCATTACATTTAATTGTATGACTCTGGAACAATTTTAAACATGAAATGAATATAACTATTCTAATTTGTAATTAGATCTGAAAATGGAGTAGAATAATTTAAAAACATTTAATCTGGTAATAAATCTGGCTTAACTCTGACTTAGGAAAGAATAAAATTTACTTAAGACATACAGTGGTACCTCAGGTTACGAACGCCCCAGCATACGAAATTTTCAGGATACGACATGAAATTCGAACATATTTTTGCTCCACGATACGAACAAAAACTCACCATACAACGTTACATTAGTTCGCATTTTTCATTTGTTTTTCTTACTACAGTTATTTTTTTAAATGTATTACTTGGCTTTAATTTGAGTATGTTTTTCGCATTGGAACGAATTATTTGGTTTTACATGTAATCGTATGGGAAAAGATGATCCACCTTATGACATTTTCATGATACTATCTCAGTTTCGGAACGGATTAATTTCGTATCCTGAGGTACCACTGTATTTTAGTGTATTTTTATCATTAAGATAGCGTTGACTTTTCTTGCTGCTTTTTACCTACCTGGAAAATGATTATTCAGTGTGTTTAAAAAGGACATTTTATTCACAAAGTCACTCTGCATAAGAGTGAATTAAAAAATATTAATGACAAATTCAATGATTGATGAATTTGATTGAATGAGGCAACATATCATATCCATAAAGTCCAGACTTTTATTAATATTAATAAAAGAGGTTAACTGAATCACCTTTTAGACCAAATATTTTTTAATCAGACTGAGTTGATGGAACAGTGACCATAAATTTCTTTTAAAATGAGAAGAAATGTTGCAAACAATAACTTTAAAATTTTTAAAAAGAAAACATTTTCCTTATTTAATAAAAAGTTTGAATCATGTCTTCATAATATTTTAAATGTTGGTAAAACAAAACTGTAACTGTAGTACATCAATCTTAGCCTAAAATACAATACATGATGATAATTTCAGACTTAAGACTAAATATTTTTAATATTGATCTTTGAAAAGTTTCTAAAACTTGCATGTAAAGTCTAACTTAGACAATTTATATAGCACAATATTCTAATTTTGTGTAACTCATTATTTTTAAAAGTTATTGATAACGTGTGTAGAATATATTTTTAGATTAACAATATTAAAAGATTACTACTTTCATAATAATATATGTCTTTATATATATAAATATACCAATATGTAGGTCACATATGTATATTGAGATATTCAGGCATGTTAAGAATAATTTGTTACATTAGAACATTCGTTGCTTTTATAACCGAATTATAGAATTACATACTGAAAACTCTGACAACCTATATAATAAAATTTTGAATTGCAAACTATCACATTATTTGAAAGTTGTTTGAAAAATGAATAAGTAATTTACTGGCTAATGTACTGGCAATGCTCAGGTTATCTTAAGAAAACATCAAACAAGTTTAACAAAACCACAGTTTTTAAATGTTAGTATGTGTGGGAGTTGGCAACTATATACATTTGAATAATTGCTTCTGTCACAGTGTCATGAATTTTGTTATTTTTCTTTTTATTCTCTTTAACTCTGTTAACCTATCTTTTATTATTTATAATCTGCTAAACAATGATGTCATCAATGCATTGTGCATCTACAGAGATAATCATAAAGAAGAAAACATAAAGAAACAAGATTTTATTGGAAATATGATGTGGAAACTAATGAAACTTTAAATTCTAAACTGCTCTACCAGATATTCCATCTGAAATATGAAGAAATTCAAAACACTATTCACTAGAACAACATGATGTTATGTGGTAAAACTTGCAATAAATCAACAAGAAAAAGGTATAGCAAAGGTAGAAAATGGCAACAGTGAGCATTTGAGTACAGTTTGCAATAATTATTTACAATAAAAGCAAAATTCAAGCTGTAACAAATTTTGTTTCATTAATATTTAAAAAATACAAAAGTATTTCTGTTTACATTTATTGAATATATGTATAAATTTTTTTTTGGTTTTTGCAATAAAAAGTTATATCCAAAATCAGCACAAATTACATTGTGATTACAATAAACAAAATGAAATGACTAAACACTTTAAACAATTCATATAAGCAGGTAAATAATAATAAATATTAATGACTAAGTAAGAAAATAGTTTATTCATATTTCATGTAGTGCTCCTACTATGTTTTGAGGTTTACAAATTAGGAAAAGTAGGACAAATTTAAAATAGCCAAAATCACCATTAAAGACAACTCTCAATAAAGTAGTCTACAGTATATTGATAAAATATCTGTTCATTAGCAAGAAAAGAAAAGAAATAAAACTGAGGTATATACTAAATTAATTCTCTTTTTTTAATGTGAACATTTTCTATAAAAAAAACTGTCACTCATTCATTACTAGAATAATAATCCTGAAAATGTTATGGCCTTTATTTTTCAATAACATTTACAGTTACTGAATATGTGAAAAAAAGCCTTTAAAAAATACTATATATTGTGAAAAATGTTAATTTTAATATCAGATTAAAAACTTTATGATTATGGTAAAAAGCAAATGCCAAATATTGTTTTAACTTTTTTAGTATCAGATCCTTTAAATATATAGTCTGAATTGTTTCTATTCAGCACTTTTTTGAAACTTTAAATATCAATCAAGTTGAAATTATAAAAAAAATCTACAAACCTATTCTTATTTTATGTGGAGAACTCCCTGTGATGTATAAACATAGGAAGGAATAGCAGAGCTAAGAATATGTATTATATATGCTTTATTTAGAAAAAACTGATTCTGTATTATCACTTAATTAAAGACAAAAAGCAGGAAAATTAGGGCACTTTTTAATAAAGTAGGAAAGGTAGGATGAATATGAAACCTGATATTCATGAATGAAAAGCATGATGATGATTACTTAAGTTAGCTAAAGAAATTATTTTATCATCTAATTGTAACAGTGTGTACTGTACATAATATAATTATAAGACCTACCTTTTTTCTGTACATCTGCATAAACCTCTTTTTTACATTAATAAAAGAAGAATTAATACATGTATTGTTTGATAAGGTCAGAAGAGAATAGGGATGACCAACAGGAGGAACTGAACATAAGCCCGTTTTCCATCGGTCATTATTCCATGGCACAAATACCAATCCATTCTCCAGTCTAAAAATTAAAAAATATATTTTTATTCATTTAGCAGTGTAAGCATAAACTTTTTTAACTTAAAAAATTTATAGCACTTTCAGACTACATATTCATCACTACAAATCAACAACTCATAATAATACATAATGTACGCTAATAATGTGTACACAATCTGAAAGTACGCTTAAGACCTCAAAAAAAACCTTTAAAAAATAATAAAAATGAAATTCAATCTTTAACATAAATAATCATTATTCATAACCAAAATTGAAATATTTAAAATAAAAGTAATAATTTGTAAAATATTATTATTAAGTATTTCTCCTTACATTGAACAAAATTTTATAAAATAATGTTTTACTTCATATACTCTTACATAGCAATTTGACTTTAAAAGTGAATACATGATTATTGAGTATATATGTGGGGTTTTAGACGAGTAACATTCGTAAACTGTTAAGACAAAAAATTTATGAGGGGTTGCGTGGGAGACGAGGAGAATGAGGGAGAGAGACAAGGAGAGAAGTGAAAAAGACGACAGCTGGTGACGAAGCGAAAGTGAGAAAGGACAAAAAGACATTACGAAGGTGAGAATATTATCATTCTATCAAGACGGTTACGAATGCTGGATTAGATTGTTGTCATTTCTATTTCTCTATCTCAATAACTATCCCTACATATATAACTTAAAAACATAAAAAGCTGATTAAATCATTCAAGTCTTACTATAGCAGATCTCAAAATCATCATCTACTTACAATAAGAAAATTTTTAAAATGTTACAAAAGAAAAAATTTCTTTATAATAAAAATAGAACAATTTTCTGCTAATTTTGGATTAATTTTATTAATTTTAATTATAAATTGTTCATATATTTCTAATGGCATCTATTGGCAACAAGTATATAATGATCCTTATTCAGAAACCTTTCTGTGTATTGAAAGTAGTATTCAAACCTGCCATTAAATAAATACATGTGTTGCACACTTTCTGTGTGTACTTGCACAATAAACATAATTACCAAGATGAGCTGCAATTGGTTGTAGAAAAGGTCTCTATTAACAAGCTGCAAAAGTTTGGACCTCACTCTACTTTTGCAACATGAAAAAAACGACAACATTTTGAGCTTGCCACTTTTCCATTNATGTATTTAAACTATTTTATTTAGGATTTTGAATTTTGTTAAAGATAGGATTTCCTAACTCCTTACTAGCATTAAGATATGTATGAGGTAAAATAAAATGTTTATCACTGATCAACTGCCCTTTCAATGGATCTTTTCTCCAAAGAATACATGAAAACTTATACATTATCATAAGTTTTCGATGTTAAAGATTAACATAATTGACTCAGAGGAATTTTCTGCATTACTACTAGTGAAAATATCAAGACATTCGAGACAACATTTACCTTAGAACATGGTAAATGTTGTACTATATGATAAATACTTCAGTAGTGTTTAATCTTATAGATAATTTATTGTCTCGGCTTGCAAGTGTTTAATAACTTTGATGGATATAAATAAAGTTATGAACTTAAATCATAGTTGGTCTTAGCTTTCGTGCATGTCTCCCCGGGGCGCGATTTACGTTCTCTGGGTAATGCGAGACTTTGTATTAGAGACGTGTAAAAAATAGTATATTATAACTTTATTTCTGTTACTAATTAAGAATTTATAATAAAATATTTCTTGAAAAGCCAACATTATCTCGCTTAAAATCCACTATTAGTTTTATATTTATTTTTCGGGAATTTGTTACTTATTTCGTGTTATTTTCGAGCTTTTATTTAAATTCTGTATTTAATAGAACATTGCTCTGAAGCGGCCATTATAATAATATGTCATTCGGAACAATTTTTATTTTTTTATTTTTTCGAGAATTGAGTCTTTTTTTTAATATGGTTTTAATAAAAATGTACCAAACTAAATTTAAATCTATAATTACATTTTTTGTTGAAAATTCCTAATGTAGATTCAAATATTTTTATATTGATGAATGGAGGTAGATAGGTTTACTTTCATAATGGCTTAATTTGTATTTAAAGTATGCCAAAAATACACGAGATAATCTTTCATGAGGATACCAGAGCGCGTTTTAACAATTCAGAGGGAAGACAGCGAAGAAAGGTAAGATTTACTGCATTAGAGGCATTATAATTTTTACAAAGTTTATCCAAACTTATTCACTCCATATGAATATAAAGCCTAATTACTTCGAAAATTAATTTTAATTATAAATTGGATTTGTAAATCTACATCTATCTTTATTTTTGTCTATATTAAGTTAAACCATTTCTGCAATGTAAGCTGAGGAGTGCTGATTTGACATAATGAGTTTTTAAATCTAAACTCTTGAAATAATAATAATAATGGATCTGTCATATATAAGGAACTTGTACAATAATTATTGATGAAATAAATACATTCAAATCAAAACCAAAGCATTTATTTTTTCAACAATCTTAATCACTAAAAGAACTCCAAGTATTTAATAAATTAGATATCAATAATTAAAGATACTACCCCTGAATATGGAACAACAAAAGAATTAAAATTAAATTTAATGTATACAAATTATTCAAAAAACTATCAAGAAATAATCATCCAACCATAAGCCAAATTAATCGGGCATAAATATACTACAAATGTTAATTAGAAATTGCATGATTAGAACAACAAGAGATAGACGTTAAGTGCCATCTCTTAATGAAAATAGTAACTATAATTTAATTTTAAATTTAGAATAGTCTGGAAGAAAAGAATCAGCCCAGAGCAGAAGTTGAATCCGCAACTCCGTTTACCATGCAATGTGCTGACCAGTTACGCCACCTACACCTCCAAGCAAGTCCTCCCTTCAAGATACAACATTTAATTCTAACATTCTTTGATTGTTTTCAATTTTTTATGTTAGAGTTTTTTCCACAGATCTAACAGTTATATTCTATTTAAAATTTATAATATTAAATCTAATTTAATGTTATAAATTTAAAAAGTGTAAAAAATATAATCATTGAAGATATATACAGAACAAAAAACTTTCACAATCTTCTTAAATGTCCTTTCACAATCACTGGTACACAATCAACATTAACAGAGTCAACCTCCTTTTATAAGCAGGGAGCCTATAAGAGAAGGTCAACTCTACGAAAATTGCAAATGTTTTTCAGTAAAATTGCACTTAGGTAGTCACTATGGCAGCACTTCCTGTCACCATCTTATTTGTGAACACAATGTCTACAAACAAGATGGCAACCAGTGCAGCTACTTACTACACCAGCATTTAAAGAAAAACATCTTTCACTCATCATTGTCATATTTCTACTGATAATTCCTTTTCTCTGATTTATTCGGTAAAAAACATGGTTCGGATGTTTCTTTCGTAACTTCATCCTTTTCCATTATAGAAACTTTCCACATTCTTAACATATACATTTACATTCTTCCTCTTATGATTTTCGGATTTACTGATACTTTCGGGGCCGAAAGTACAATATCTGGCTCTTTCCAAACTAAAACACATTCTACTCCTGGATATAACTTACTCGTATGCTGAACAAACAGGTCAAACTGTTCTCCTAGTTTTTTACTTTTGCTCACAACAATCTCATCAATTTCGACAACCTTTTCAGGTCCATCCAATTTTCATTCTGGTAAAATTAGACTATGAAACAATCGTAATGTGTCATATGAAATTTGCCCAGTCAACAGCTGTTCGACTAGTCATGCCCACAGCCAAACAGGTAAAGCTGAACATACATTCTATGCCAATTACATGCCAAATAAACAAAAAAATAGTTCACTAAGAAATTCTCCCAAATTTACGTTTGAAAATTACTTCAAATGATGAACTGTTCCTCTTGCATTTATGACATCTAAAAGAAACAGAATCATGATCCTTTCAATAATTTAATTTACGATGACCATAACATTTCAAACAATCTGCATCTGCAGGTTGCATTCCAAACTTTATGACAAACATACCAACTGATGAAATTCTCTTGTCAAAATTAAATTCAGGATATTCCAATACTAAAAACTGAAAAAAATCCCTTAAAGTACACTTTTACCAAGAAAATTGTTGATATTTTCGAAAGTCCGCCATTACAACAATAAACAACAAAGTATCAAATGTAAACTTCGAAAAAAATGATTCCAACAACAATATATAACTTTTTGAACCTGAATAATTAAATTACTCTTAACAAAGTTATAAAATGTTAGGAAATTAATCTAGAACTGAAATAATGTTAGAAATCTTGTAAACTAAAGACAATGACATCTAGATTAACTTTCAAAGCATGCATGTTGTTGAGATTCTGGAAGTGCTGCCATAGGGTCTACCTAGATACACTTTTATCTGTTTTTCTTTTTACATGTCTTCAATGATGTATATTTTTTACATGTTTTTAAATATATATTTTATCCTGAATTTTTAGGAAATTTTTTTCTTTGCAATGAACATTATATTAATTTTTTACCAAATTATAAGATCACCTGATGAAAAACCATATATTTAAAAATAAAATAGTTATATATATTTAAAGAGTTTTGTATTTTTTTTCTTACATGCTCCATTTATCTTGTTTTATAACTCTATTTAATATTAATGTCTGGCTTAAATTAGATATACATAGACAGATTTACCTATCAATATTTCTTCGGATATCTGATATTTGCACTTGTCCTCTAACTAGAAGTGCACATGTCAAATAAACGCCACTACGAGGGTCTGTTTTCAACAAATGATGATGCTGAGAGAAAGCTTCAGTAAACATTTGATCCAATCTGAAAGATTTAATTAAAAATTTTAATATTTTAAATCCTTATCCTAATATCTAAATTGTCTAAGTCTGCTTTAATAATTTAAGAAAAGTTAATAAATTTCCAACACTCATTAAGAAAGAAATTACACAAAATTATTATTCATTTTCATTAAAGTTCAGTTTAAAAAAAATTATAGTAATTCATGAGTCTCATTAAAAGAAATCTTTTATGAAATATTAATATAAATTTACATTAAACATAAAGAAAAGTTATTTGCATATAAGGTCAACAATATTATATATAATATAAAATTTAAATGATACTTTAAATATACCTTCGACTTGGAATATTCGCATCAATTAATGCATATAAAGGTGTAAGACTAGATACAAGATAATGCATTCGAGGATATGGTATTAGATTCATGACTATTTCTTGTAAATCGACATTAAGACTACCTGAAAATCTTGAAGAACTGTCAAATTCCAAAATATTAAAACATTATAAAAGTATAGTTTTATTAATGTAAATTTATATCTATAAAAGTTATTAATCTCACTTACTGACTAGTACAAAATATCCATTCTAACTTATATCAACATATATCACATTTACATTCTATTATTATGTATAATATACAGTGGTGCAATTGTGCATTGTCATTTTTCTGATCTATTAATTTTATACTAAATTAATATTTTCAGTGTAATATGAAATTAAAAACAAAATAATTTAAATTTGAAAAAAAGTTAAAAGTTGAAAATATTTATTAATCTGGACTGACTTTCAATATAGTTGAACCTCAGTTTTTGAACTTAATTCGTTGTTCAAAAACCAATTTGTTCTCAAACCAAAACAAATTTTCCCATATGAAACAATATAAAATGGATTAATCTGTTTCCAACCCCAAACAAAGCCTTTTTTTTTCTACTTTTTTAGGTGTATTTCATGCATAAAAAGTCTACAAATGAAATATAATATTATATATATTATATTATATTAATAAATTTTTGTTATTTAATTTGAGTTAAGCACCTTTAAACATAGATTTGTGGATGTCATTTATATTATGTGAATGTCAATTAATGTGATTTTTATTAATTAATTTGATTTAAATTGAATTGTGATGCATACCAAAAAATAGGATTAGTATCTTACCCGCATGTGCATTGAAATCTAACTTAAATAACAATGTCATCACTGGTATGTGTTGTGCTATGAGGCGATCTGGGCACCACTAACTTCTGAATTGGTAGTCCTATCGTTAATTGGTTGGGCCATCAACTTTCTTTAACACAAGAAGTATACAGAGTTGATCACCTGTATCTCTCTAATCTGTGGCCAGCTCTTGCTGAGTAGCTTGTTCGGCAACCGAGTTATCATACAACAACTGAGGCAAATATGGCATTCACAATTTTGTTCGTAAACCAAACTGTTCGAAAAGCAAGGCATTCAAAACCTCAGGTTTGACTGTATTTCTTTACAGAAAATCTCCTATCTAACAACTGAGAAAATGTTAAATACAATAAAAAATGCAATTTATTTTTCACATATATTTCCTTTAAATAAAAATGTATTAAAAAAATAAAATTTGCAAATGTGTAAAATGAATTCTAAATGAAATAATTATTTATAAACTTTTCCTCTAAAATAAGTTTTTTACACTAATTTATACAATAATAATAGTTGCATAATTTTAATAATTAGTAACATTGTTTTAGTCACATTCCTGAGTTTTAGTTTTAGACCAAATAGTTAATATATATTTAGTAAATTTAGTAATTAGTATAATCAGTAAATGTAAATTTTTCAAGAAAAATATAATTTTGTGAGCCGCGGATTTTTACGGGACTCTTAATATCAAAATTTAATGTCAATTGTTTTCAAAATGTAAACATCTTCGTTAGAAAAAACGGAGAGGTAGAAATTAGATCAGAGGTCGCCGGTTATAGTAGCAAGTCAGTGGGAAAGTTGACACACATCAGTCAAGAATGCACTGTCATCGTCAACTAAAGTCGATCACGTATTAGATTTCCCATGACAATGATATAAAAGGTGCGAGCCACCGGAAGCTCGAGAGTTTTCACACGGAAGTTATAATTGTCTTAGTGATTCTCCGTCTCCCGCACCTCCATGAAACGGACTCAACCTAGTCTCCGGAGAAGACAACGGTAGAAGACATCGACAACATCCAACACTTCCATAAAGAACTGTCATCACCTCATATAGGACTCCTCCAACTTTAGAGGTAATTATCATAGGGCTGCAAACTCTCTCTCTCTCGTAACGGAAGTAGGCATAGCTGTCATAGAATAGACTAAACAGTTGTCAATCATAGACTTTGTAATCTTATGTTAATCGCATCTAGCCTACATAACCTAGAGATATATGCATTTAAACTCTGTGTAGCCTCCTGTATTTTAGTGTTAGCTGTATAATAAATGCTTTGTTATTTTGTTAAACCTGTCTCCTGTCTCTGGAAGGACGCCTGCCAACTTGCTTACCTCCCTTGCCACTCGATAATAGCCATCCAAACGACAACGTGAGCAAGTTTTACCAACTTGACGTGTAAGTGGCAATTAGGGAATTGACCCTGTGCCCTCGTAATCTCACAATTTTCCTACTTATGAAATTAAAGAATTCAATAGATAACATTCTATTAAAAATAATTCTACATTAATTAAATAAAAATGTAAAACACCAAACATAAAAGGGAAGTAATTTTTAAAAATTTAACAATTTTTTATAATGATATATATTAATGATTTAAATATTAACATCTTTTGTTTGTTTATATAATAAATGAATATTTATTTTTATTCTTACACAGTGTTTATATTATCAAGCAAATTACCAATATATTATAATTTTAATATGTAGCAAAGTACAAATAAATTTTACATCAGACTATTGTTATTTTATATATAATATTTAACAGAATTCAATATAAAATGTTTAATAAAATTAATTTTTTAAAAATTTACCTTGTTAGATTTAATAAGAGATTTGCCACTATATTATTCATGTGATCAAATATTTGTTTATTTCTTCTTGTGGTAGTTCCAACTGATGATGTAATAACACTTTCCGGTTGTATACTTAAACCAGTAGATTTTTCTATTCTGGTTTTCTTCTGAGGTATTGCTTTGCTAACTTGATTACATATATCAATTAAGGCCTATAAATGATTGATGTTTACATATTTTATTCTTTATATTAATAATAATACACTTTTTAAAAATTAAAAACCAATAAATAACGCTTACTTCATTTTCTATTGGAAGAACACAATCAGCATACTCTGTTAATTGATGAACTGCTAATAAAGTATTGTATGGAGATGTTATAACATCATCATCTGTAGATGGAAATATTGTACTTACAAACCTGTAATATATATTTTAATAATTATTTCAGCCTTTATCAATATATCTCTCGTTGAAATCTTGATTAAAATTTAAAAAGTTTAACATTAAATTCAAGCTAATTTAATACTAATTTTATAAAAAGCTAAATGCTTTTAAATTATTTTAAAATTTCATAAAATATAAATTTATGAGCATTGACAATTGAAAATTAAATTGCTATTAAAAAAAAGGTTACATATTTCATTACATGCAATATATTTTTTTACACAGAAATTTAGCATATGTTTTTAAAATTAAAGTACAATTATATTGCAAATCAGTTCAGATTTCTTAACTGGTTTATCTAGTTTTCTTATAATTCAAAAACAATTTTACTTTTTTATAACACAATAAATGAGCAATTATTTATTGTGAAGTCACAATGCTGAGCTGCAATTTTTTGTCCAATGTTCTCAATATTAGTAGTGTCTTGCCCCTGCACATCATACTTTTCCTGTTAACAATGAAGTCATGCCAGTAATGTATTTAACTCTGTTCAGAAGAAAATTTTTAAATTGAAATAACATAACTTCCAGTCCAAAATGGAAGTTCGTATATAGTTAACTGGGGCCTCCTAGCTCTAAACATTCTAAATCCAGTCTTGACTTTCATGTCTAACACTGTTCTCAAGATTAAGGACAGACAAACATGAACAATAGTAGGAATTTATAGGTCTATAATTTTTTAAATTTCAGCCCAATGAAGGTAATGATTTACTAAGATAATTTGATTATGTAGATCAAGTTACAAAACCAATATTCATCAATTTCAGATATTTTGTTCATGTTGACTTTACTTTGAAAGTTTTGATATGTAATTAAATTTGTCGGTATTTTATATTCTTCTTAGTAAAATATACAGAATTAATCTCATTAAATCTAGTTAAACATATTGACTTTTATTTAAGAGTTTACTTCTTGATATATTTCAGATATTATTATATATTCTAGACTTTTGATTTATATAAAATAAGTTAAAATAGTTTATCATTGGCAAATTAAATCATAAATATTTCCAGGATATTTCACAAACATTTGTTAATAAATAAGTTAAGAAAAGATTCCAAAATAAATAAAAAATTAGATATTTATTATTAATAATGACAACACATTTAAAGAGTTGTTAATAACTCAGCACTCAAACAGACTACTACTTACTTCCAAAATATGTAGAATCTACATTAATAAATACCTTTATCAACAATAATTAATGTTATCAAAAGCATTTATTATTTTTTTATTTAGAAAATTATATTTTTTGACATAAAATTTATGTATTTTTACTATTTAAATTTAAATTATGTTTCAAAATAATGCTAGTTTATGAATTTTTTTCTTTTTAATTTTAAAATGCTATTGATATTTTCATTAATGTAACATTTGTTCACATAAAATCAATGAAATGTGCTTTAAATACATATTATTTTGAGAATTNGAGTGGAATTAGTCTAGAATCGGTTAATTTTATAGAAGAAAACCTTTCGAACAGCCTTAGTCCGTAAAGTTCCCACCTATCGGGCTGCGATTGGCTCACTCCTACAACGTAATTTTCGGTTAGCGTGGAACGTATCTAAGCGTTATAGGGGGGTCTACTGTATTTGAATAAATGATTTAAACTAGTATAGCATATATGGGGCAAATAATTGGAATGAATAAAGACTTGTATTTTCTTTAATGTCTTTAAGTTTCTTTGGCAGAATATTTAAATAAAAGGAATAAAATGTTCAAAAAATTTATTTTTATAATGTTTATGTTAAAGTATCAATAGTTTAATGTTAATTATAACTAAGATATTATAGGAGAAATAATAAATCAATATAAATATTGATTAGAGATAAACTTTAGAAATGTATCTCAAAATTTTGATTAACATAGTTATATATGAAAAATAAATGTTCTTGTAATTAGCAAATACTTCTAATAGGCAATATTATACATTATACTTTTAAATGAAAAAGGTAAAAATACATTTTTATATAACACTGTTTTTAATTTACTTTAATTGGAAAATTACAAGAACTTGCAAAAACAAAAAAATGCCATATCCAAAAGATGTTAAAATGATTAATAATTTCCTAAATCTAGTGATTAAGTAGATAAAGAATTCCTATAAATTAGGCTGAAATATTAGAAAAAATAAAATAATATCAAATTTAAATCTAGAAAGTTTAACAATTTATTATTTTTTGCAAAAGTGCATAAAAAGATTAAAAAATTCTATTTCTTCCTATAAAATATTCCATATATAAAACTACTTTCAAGTGACTCTTGATTTTTACTTAAATATTTAATAGTTAAAATGACATGCAATCAACAATATGTTACAATGTAAATCAATGGAAACTTTTCATTCATTAAAAAAATAAAAAATATAACAATGTTCCTTTAAAGAAGTCAAATTTTGATATAATAAAATAAGATTAATTAAGTAGTACAAAATTTTTCCTATATTAATGTAATCATCTTCAGATCTTAAATAGGATATTTAATGATTACATTTTTTTGGAATCTAAATATAACTACATTAATAATTGAAAGCATTTGCTCTACTCTAATTTTATTCTTATCATGTATCATATACAATATATGTAATCTAGATAATTTATATGAATATAAAAAAAACATAACCTCAATACAGTAATCATACAGATGGTAACTTTTCAATTTACCTATGAACATCAGGAAAATCGTCAGCTAATATATGTAATATTTTTGTTCCTAGACCCGAGCCTGTACCTGCGAAAACAAAAAATTATTTCACTTTAAAATATATAAATATTTTTAAATCAATCACAATTAAATATTGTTATAATTGTTAATAAATACTGCATAATTTAATAACTAAAAATAATATTATATTCCTAAAAAGTAATAAATTTTTTTTTAAGATATAGTAATAAAGTAAATAAATTGAAGGGTTCCAGTATAAAAGAGGGTAAGTACCACAACAAAAGTTTAGATAAAATGCAAAACTTAAATGTTTTAAGCAGTTTTCTGTTTTGTTTTCTTTAATTAGAATAAAGTACAGTACATGTTATAGTTAAAAAGTAGATATAATAATTAAATTGAAATGCATTAGTTATTAGCATGCATTATAATCTACTAATAGAAATGATACTCACCTTCTTTTACACTCAAACCCGTCAATTGTTAGATGTGAAATTTATGTATTCAAATTTATAAATAAAAGAGTTATAAATTTGTATAAAGATGTATACGACATAAAATTTGAAATTAACCAATACTTTTATTTTATATTAGTACAAAAATATTTATATTATTTATTTTATATTACACTTAATTTTACATTATAATTAAAATATTGATTTTATATTAATATGAAAATATGGTACATTTATCCAAATTTAATATAAATCTTCTTATCCAGTTCAATTAACTGTTTATTCAAACCAACAAATTTGATTTCTAGTTTTGAACTGTTTAATATTCATATGTATTCATTAATATTTGACTTGGAATTATTTTAATTTACTTGCAATTATCAACACAGCTATAATAATCAATTCAATGCAAATTAAATTCGTTCTAATTTTATTCTGTTGAGTTTCTTAAGAATAAGGAATAAAGTTTGGTACAAGGAAAACAGTCAAAAAGATAGCTTTATTTTTAAAAATAAAAAACTGAATGAAAATTCATATATTTGAATGAAAATCCTCAATTTATAATACACAAAAAGTCCTTGACTTGTATGGATTCAAGTTATGTACTGTACATATGCAGTTGCAACACTTCAACTTACAACTTCATTTATTAAGTGCCACTTTGAACATAGATAAATAAAAATTTTTATTTTTTCAAACTTCTCTTTTTATACACAGAACTTGTTTAGTTTTAATTATTCTTTGAAAAGATGTTATTAAAATTATATCATATTTAAGCATTATTTAACTTGTATAGCTTTTGCAACCTATGCAGAAACCTTTGGAATGATTTAATTTCATGAGTCAATGTCTTGTATATTCAAAACAAAATCTAAAAGACAGATTCTATTTTTTTTCTCACAGCAATCATAAAATAGTTACATTTTTCTTCATAAATTAAACAAAATGCAATTATTTAAAAACTAATACTGTAAGAACTCTTTTATATCCTTACCTCCTCCCATGGAATGTAAAAGAAAAAAGCATTGTAAGCAATCACATTTTTCTGCTTCTCTTCGTATTAACTCGGAAATTTTTTCTTCGTATTGACTCCCGTATTCTTTATGACCAACAGCCCTTTATGGATATTTTTAATACTTTTAAAATCAAAATAAGAAATAAATTATCATCATATAATAGAAATATTTAATCATTCAACTTTATTTTTATTACCAATTATTTCCAGATCCCGATACGTCGGTAATAAGTTGTTTATTATCAAATATATGTTTTAAAGGACTTTTCAACAATTCTTTGATAACTCCTTCTTCCATATCAATTAATACTGCCTAAATTATTATAAAATGCAAAATAATAATAATACAATAATTTAAAACATTTTTTAAAAGTAAAAAAAAATTTTATTTAAAAATATTTACTCTTGCTTTTAATGATTGCTGAGAATCTAATGTATTTTCTTCCGCATCAGAAGATTCATCACTTAAGCGAAAAAAGCTCTGTACTGAATTTTCAATGAAGGGAACCTAAGATTATTTTAATAACAACAGATTTGATTTAATATGTTTCATTTGAAAACAATTCTTTAATAATTTAAAATACAATGTGTTAAAAAAATTTACAAATTACCACATAATATACTTAAATTCCAAACTTAAGAATTCTATTGTAAGTGTAAATTACTCAAATAAATTACATTTATTTAATTTCATATTTATGCTTTCCCATCAAAAGATTGTATTCTTAATGAAAGAAGAAACTATCATTATCAATTTTGTATTGAGAATGATCTTATTTATTTAAATGGTTTACTTTCTAGTGATGAAGAAGGAAATTCTGCATATTATTCACACAGTGGAACTAATGTAATAGATTATATAATTGTTTCATTCACAAGATTTATTTGCATATTGTACGTGACATAACAATGTTACCCAAATTGAGCTCTGACCATTTACCAGTTGCAACTTTATTTATGCGTACGATTACAAGATTTTAAAGATAAAGGGTTGTGAATACGTGTTAAATGGATCAATGAAATTAATATTGTATTTTCTGAGGTGCTGGATAATACATTAATCTCTGAATATATAGATAGTCTCTCACTAACAGATATATCAAACTGTTTAATTAAGGTAGTAATTAAAGAACATCACAGAACTTTTCAAAAATTAGAAATGACATGTGGTGTGATAAAAACTGTCTTAAAATGAAGAAGTAAGAATACTTTTTAAGAAAATTAAAACTTCATATACCAGAAAAATTTTTGGATGAAAATGCAATAGCATAGAAGAAAAGTTAATTAACTTCTAATGAAATTAGGTTTTCATCATCATCATCATCATCATTCAAACTCTCCTCACTATTTGCACTGAATGAATTAATTAAAATAAGCAATTCAACATAATAAAACTGATACAGCCCCAGATATTGATCTAAATAAAACAGCATTTTTGGAATGTTTTTCAGAAGTTTCTTGCATTAGCATTGGCTGTATTTAATTATTTAAAAAAAAACAATTAACTTTTTAGAAGGGTAGATCGAATCTTTGATAACTTCAAGTACTTTGGCACTGAAAGCTTGATAAATGACTAGTAGATAATTTATCAAACACCAGTTAAATAAAACGCTTAAGGTTGAATTTCTAAATATGATCTATTGTATGAGCAGGTTGGTTTTCAACCTGGTAATTCCTGTTTAGATCAAATTTTCACTTTTGAATGCTTTTGTGCAAATGAAGTTGCAGAAAAAACAGGAAAGTTGTATGTTATTGGGTTGCAATTTGAAAAAATTGTAGACATAAATTCCCATTTTTGTCTGTCCATCTTTCCTTAATCTCAAGAACAGAGTTAGATAGACAAAGATGATGAGACCAGATATGGAAACCTTAGGGAATGAAGGCTCTGACTAACTATATACAAACTTCTGATGCAAACCAGAAGTCACATTATTTCAATTCAAAAATTTTCCCTAAAAAGGGTTAGATAGATAACAAACACAACTTGACTGCTAAAGAAAAAGTATGATGTAAAGGGGCAAGCTACTATTAAACATGCTTAGCATCAAATAATGATAAATATATTGAGCTTTAGCCATGAAGGAACTATTGAATAAAACCAGTTTTAGTTTTCTGTGCTTAGCTTTATATCTTGGTATTATTAAAAGATATTTGTCTTATATATTAAAATCATAGTTAGAGTAGCATATCCAGCAAGATTGGTCTTTGCTGAATACTAATAAGCATTGTCATTTATATTAAACATTAAACAAAATTTTATGATGGAAGATTATATAGATAAAAATTATGATATTTAAAGAATACTTTTCAGTTAAAATCTGTACAGAATTATAGTTTATAGTAATAAATTTAAAAAGTCTCTATAAGAGATGTGATTCAAAAGTAAATGAATCTTGGAAACATGTATTTATGTATTGTCCTATGTTTAATTATTTAAATTTTAGCCCACAGTTTAATCATTATTATATTATACTAGTATAATACTAGTATACTAGTATTATATTATACTAGTTTTATTGCAAGGTCTATACCACCTGTGTCTAGGAAGCGGAGCAGAATCATGACTCATCACTCTTTTTAATTGTAATCTATAAGAAATGTAAAAGTGAAGTGGGAATAAATTGAAGTGGCATAAAGTTAGTCATAGCAAAAGTATTCTGAGTCATACATTATTATAGTTATAAATTAAAAATAAGGTTAAAAGTCAGTATTTTGCAAGTATACATTTTTCAAAACTCTAAATCATCGTAAAGAAAGCAAAAATAAAAACATATACATATAAGAAATTATAAATAACATTTTTACATTTCTGATTTTCATATTTTCATCACTTTTTTCTAATAACAACATTTTAATTTTGCATAATATACATTTATGATAAAATATTAAATTTTTTTAAGTATAAATAATCTATAGCTATAGTAAAATGTTTTCCTTATTGACAATGAAACACATTATCATGTTTACTGTTGAAATTTTAGGATGCTNAAAATTAATATAAGCAGATTTATTTATTATTTTCAGAATTAAAAACTAAAATTTATTCATTTTACTTCAGTCTTAATATATTTAACAGACAATTTCTTCCTCTATTTTTTTGTTGAAAGAGATTTTTTTTTTATTTTATATTCTGACTAAAGTGGGACAGTTCTTGTTACCTGTGGTTATCATTTTCACTATTCTATGATTAATGTCAACTGTATGAAATGAATATCATAATCAAACTAAGCATTCATTATTGATTATCTTCAGAATAATAAAGGATTATATATGAAATGCACCTCTATGATAATGAATGATGATCACTGAAATTTAATTTAATCTTAATAATTAAGTTAAGTTAATTCATATTCACAATGAACTGATTAGCACTAACTAAATAATTTAATATAAATATGAATATAATTATACCATAATTAAATTATATATTAAAATAATNTGAGCTTTATATAGTATTTTGCATAGAAGAATTGTATACAGAATGCCTAAAAATTCATTTATAGTTTAATAATTCATCAACTTATATAATTGACAAACTTTTCAAAGTATCAGTTGAGCTTCTATTAAATTAATGTAATAAATGTTCTCATAATTCATCTCAATCTAATTTATCACTAATGGATAATTTGTCATATCTTATAAATCTTTACAGGTTCTTTTGTAAGCAATAATTTATCATTCTAAATAGTATTATCCTCCAATATAAAAAAGATTTATATAGATATAACTGAAGAGCAAAGGCCTGTTGTAAAGTTACAAAAGTCTATTTTATAAAATATAACTTTTAAAATAGTAATAATAATAATAAAGTCAATCATTATTATTATTATTATTATTATTATTATATATGCAAATCTTCTCTTACTTCAAGAAGAAAAATTATAAGTCCATTTTATGTTACTTTGCTTTTGTCTTTTGGTATCCCGATAGTCATGAAAATATTTTTTGAAAAAATAAACTATGTACATTTATAACATTGGCATTTTTCTTGCTTCTTGTGATAAAAGAATATTGATAAATTTCACCTGAGATAAAACTAAACTATCATCAAACATATTTGGAAATAAATAATGAATTATTTAAAAGCCGTAAATGTTGACAAAATGACTATATCTCATGATTTATACTCCAATGACTGATTTATAATTTATACTTACCATGATTTTTTACTCTACATGATTTATATTCCTTAATCCTTTTTTATGGTTGAATTATTTAATTATAATACTTCCAATTTAAATAAAATTCTAAATTTTGTTTTAACAAAAATTTACAAAATAATAAATAAGATTATCTTTAAGATTTTAGTTTCCTTTATAAATTATTGAGTATCTATTGCATTTTTAAAACTTTAAAAAACTAATCTTTACTTACTTTATTAGCTTTTACATGTGCATATTCTCTTAATGCAAGGTCCCAAAATCTACATCCAACTTGATTTCCACACTGACCAACTAAAATAAATATATAGATTATAATAAATCCTATGTATTTATAAAAGAAAATATTTTACCTAAAAAAATAA